AAACACGACTCGAACCGAGCGTGTGACCCCCGCCGATGGATCCCTCGTTCGGAGAGCAAACCATTGGTGGGATCACAAGTTCGGTTCGAGCCCCCTGAGACTCTGGAGCTTAAAACGCGTCCGGAGGATTTCGACCACCGGCACCGGTCTTCTGGCCCACTGTGCGATGTGATTGATTCTTCTCCTCAAACTGACGACCGAATGATAAGGTGACGCGTGTCAAACGGAAAGAAAACAAAAAATGAAAAAGCGCGAAATGAGCGGAAGGCTGAATAGCTGAAGCGCGCTTTCTTTCTTTCGTTCTTTCTTCTTGTCTTCTCACGATCCGCGCCGAGAGCACTCGATGCGCCCCGCCTCGTTCTCACTCGAGCAAATAGCGAATGAGTGACTGCGTGCGAGGGTCTCGGTCCACGCACACACACACACACACACACACACACACACACACACACGAGAAGGAAGAATGCCTTCATCAGGGCTTGATTGTGGCCGATCCGGCTGTTGTTTCGCCAGTAATCCACGCGTGCCAGAGAAGGATGGGCTTCATAGACTTTCTCACTCCATGTAGGGTGTGCGAGGTAGAAGAAAAAAAACGTTCAAGTTTGACGGGAAGTTCAAGTGCAAAGTCAACTTTATTCAAGATGTATTCATAACTTTTGAAAAAAAAATAAGTACAAGAAGGGATTAAAAAAAATTCAAATAGGTTAACTTAGTCTTTGAGCCGCCTTGAAAGACCCAAGTTTCCGACAAATCATGGTCAAATAAAACTTAGGGCGCGCTGTTCCACGCCTGCCCGCCGCTCTGGTTGCGGCTCTGCCGGCTCTGCCCTTCCGGGAGCGGCGGCGCGCGGTTCTAATCGGTTCGTAATTTGGCGCGCGTTGGCGCGCTTTGGCGCCGACCGCCGCAGTTCTTCGCAGCCTGTCCGACGTCCGCAACCCGGCGGGCTGCGTCCGAGGCGCTCTCTCGCACTCACGGCGCGTCCCGTACTGGTGCGAGAGAGACAGAGCGACGAAAAGGACTCTCAGTCCGCTGCAGGGGCGCCCCTCGGACGCGGCCGCGGCCGAGGACGTCGCCGTCGTGGACGTCGTGGGCGTCGGCACGTCGGAGCGCCGCAAAGTGGCGGCAGTTAGGGCGCAGACCGCCGCGGAGGGCCACCCTACACTACACAGTGTGGGCCAGCGAGCGCCTGGTCTAGCCCTTAATGGTAATGGTGATGGCAGGTTACGCTAGCCGGCGCCACGCCGGGGCACGGCGGGACTGCCTACGCTGCCCGGCGCTCAACGCCACACAGTGGGCCAGAAGGACGGTAGGGGCGGCCAAAATTCTCAACGCGTTTTGAGCTCCAGAGTCACTAAATGGGACATATGACCCCACCTACGGATTGCTCTCCGAACGAGGAATCCATTGGTGGGGTCAAACGCTCGGTTCGAGTGCCATTTAGCGACGCGTGCAGAATTTAGGCCGCGCCTTCACCGCACGGACAGATGGTCATGCACGGCACACACACACACACTCACACACACACACACACACACACACACACACAAACACACTCTGCCCCCCGGCGCCACGTGGTTTTGAGCGCGGTGGGCCTCCTTCTCGGTGCACTTCTCGGCCTGGCCGCGCGTTTCCGCAGTGCGTGTTGCGGCAACGCACGACCGGCGGCGCATCTCTGCAGTGCATCGCCGCGGCGTAGAGCGGCGTGGCGCGCCGTGGCGACCTAGGGTCAACCTAACCTAACAAGCACGCCGCGCTCGCTCGCCAGACTCGGCTGCACTTTGCCATTATTTTAGTTTTCGTCCGTCGGTTTAGTTGAGGTTAATTGGTGGTTTCGGCGTTGGAGTCGCTCTGTCTCTGTCGAGTCCCAAGGGGGCGCCCCGTGAGGGTGCGAGAGAGACAGAGCGACGCTGTTCGGACCGGACGCCGCGCGGGGGGAAGGACCACATCGTTCGACGCGCCGATGATGGATCATCCACCAGCTGCGCGCATCGAGTCTTAATGTGACGAAAGCCTAACGAGTACTCGATGAACCCTCCGGCCTACGTGCTCGTCAGAGAGAGAGAGAGAGAGAGAGAGAGAGAGAGAGAGAGAGAGAGAGAGAGAGTGTGTACGTATTAGACAGTTGATGCTTCGGCGTCGCCCGGCACAAATAAAACTACCTTCTCCGACATGTACTCCAAGTAAACCACGAGATTCTCGGTTCAAATCCCCATGTCGTTCCCACTTTTCCTCCCCTACATTTTAAACGCGGGCTGTCCAGGGCTGCATTGTATGCCGAATGTCTCCGAATCGCATGATGAACGCGCCCATTCAAAAGGCGGTGCCGTCGTAGAGCGTTCGCTTTGTCGGGGAAAGCCCCGTAATCCCAATTCAGCGGCTTGTGCGATTATTAGACAGAACGCACGATGATTTGGGCAGGCGGCCTGGTCGCGTGCCGCCACGCCGCAGCCACTCCGCAAGGGCTCTGGAGGAAGGCCACTCAAATACACGAAAACTTTCATCCACATTGTATGCAAATGCGAGCCTCTGGACGCAGGCTGGCCGGAGAGGCACTCGGCTTGACTCGCTGCAGCGCCTTGGCCAGCACCGCGTCGCCAAGGAGACCGGCACGGCCACGCCTCGCAGTGGGCCAGAAGGCCGGTGGAGGCGGCCAAAACTCTAGACGCGTTTTGAGCACCAGAATCGCTAAGCGGGACTCGAACCCAACGTGTGACCCCACCAATAAATTGCTCTCCGAACGAGGAATACATTGATGGGGTCACACGTTCAGTTCGAAACCCATTTATAGCGACTCTGGAGCTCAAAACGCGTCCAGAGTTTTGGCCGCCCCCACCGGTCTTCTGGCCCACTGTGCAGAGACTGCAGTGCAGGTCCCGCCCGCCCGCCGGTCCAGCCCCGAGGTCGAGAAGGCCAGCGGTTGTCACGGTCATCATCTTTTTGCCACAATTACTGAAAAAATTACTGAAGATTCTGGAAAAAATGGCGAATCTATCGACAGCAAAAAGCTTTTCTGTTGGTCTTCGAGTCGTTTCCCTTTCGGTCTCCGAATCTGCACTGGATGCATCTCTCTATCGGCCCGACACGCGGTGCAGTGGAGAAAGCCATAACTCTGGTGGCAGTCGTGCCGTTGACAGTGGTGTGGCTGCAGGGCCGCATGCATGGGGCATGCCTCGGCCGGAAAACTGTCGCACACGTCGACTCGCACCGCAGCGCCGGCACCATCAAAGAAACACAAATCCATTTTCTAATTTCTTTGTGGGATTGATCATTTATTCAGTGCAGAAAAAACGTCGTGTATTTCATTTTCAGTTTAAGTTGAAAGCGTTATCCATCCAAACGGTCCGAAAGTAAACAAACGGTGTGTGCTTTCCACTGCACGCAACCAGTTCTAATCGTCCGCGGGAAAAACAATTGCCGTATCGCCATGGCAACGGGCCGGGCAGTATCTCACAGATAAATTTGTCCTCACCGCGTATTGTTGTCGGAGCCGCTTCTAATGAGATGTAAACAATGCCGAAAATTGTGTAACGCACCCGGCGGGCCTGGCTCTGGCTCGCCACGGCCCGGCTCGGCTCCCGCACTGGATGTCCTGGCCAGTCCCGGCCACTGCTGTTAGACCCCCAGGGCCCCGGAGCCCCATGGCCAGGGGACCCCGCCGCGGACCGGCGCGGACCCAGGCCAGCTGTGTGAACCACAGCTGGACCCGTGCGCAGCACACTGCCAAACCACCGGCCGCGTTTTAAGGCGAAATTAAATCAGCTTTAGGAGCAACGATAAAGATTGTCAAGCGTAAATATTTCGAAAAGGAAGTGTACTTTTTACCTATTATTTAAAAAAAAGAATTTAGCTCCTTCTGTTGTGATTCTATTAAACTCGGGCTGTGCTTCATTTAATGTTGAATTTTAACTGGCGACTGTCGCCAATGAACGCGTGGTGCCACGCGCCGCCCCGCCCGCCTCGCCCACATAATACCCCGTGGGAACTCCGTCGCGTTGGGCAACGTCAACACGGAGTGCCGAGCGCCAGGAGCAGCTTCAGGAGCCCAGAGCGTCTCCAGGACCGCTTGAAAAAGACCGAGCTGTGACCCGGGCTGAGACTGGCGTGGCGTACAGTGGGGACTCCTCTTGGACTCACAGCGGGACACCCCAGATGGACACCCCTGGCACTCGTTCCACGCACTCCAGGGTCACCACTGCTGGTCTCAAAAAAAGCGAGAAAGGGGCCCTGATGACTCTATTCCTCGTGTCTGTTGGTTCGCGAGGCCCGGGCTGACCTAGGCGGATAGACTCCGAGCGGCGGTGGCGGCCTTCGCATGCGAACCCCGCCTAGCCCACCCCGCGCCGAACAAACACCCAACGACCTGTGAGAGACTTGAAACATTGAAACGCATTCCTTATTGTTTTTCCAAAGTGGGCGGTAAAAAAAAATAAATGGAGACCGACTTGCGCCATACACTCCAGCCACGCGGTCACGGGCTCACGAACGCCAGGCGGGGATTCGCCACAGAAGGCAATTCATGGGAACACTTTGGAGAGATCTGTCGCGACTCCACGCGAAAATCAACCTCTGTTGGGAAGGGAGATGAGGCTACACCGCAAGGCATCGACGGCACGATAACAGCGCAGGAAACGTCAGAATAATTTTAAAAATTACTTTTTGACGCTTTTTGAGTGCTTTTAACTCGCCTTACAACATCTTTATTTTTCAAAAATATTTTTTTTTTAAACTTAGTCCAAATTTTGCTTGTTTTTTTCTTGGTGTACCTGCGTGATTTTCGCACGTTGGCGTTATCGCTGATAGGACCGTATGGTCCGCTCTGCACTATAAGCCGGCGCCTCACGAGTGGCAATATGCGGCCTTCTCTCTCGCACTCCCGCGGGGCGGACCGCGAGCGCGAGAGAGACGGAGTGACGACACGGTTCGGCATCAGACTACTGGTGTGAGATTGTAAGAGTGGAGAGGCGCTCCCGGTCACGGCCAGCCAGCCCAATCGAACGAGATCGGCGTCAAGCGAACATGTTCCGCTAATTGAAACGATTGTCACAGAATCGAATGCCCTGACTTTCAGTGCTAGTTAGGTGCATGCTTTAAAAACTTTTTTTCGCTTTTTATTGACTTGCTGGAGGCCAAACCGAATGCAGACTCAAATTTGATGATGATGATGACGATGGTGGTGGTGCATGTGGCGTGGTCGTCCTCGTCGCCCCAACTCGTGGCTCGCTGCGCGCCGTGCGGGTAGGCAACCCCTCTGACGCCGCTGCTCGATGTGTTGCAGGTGCTGCGGGCGGCGTCGCCCACTCAGCCATGGGGGCACGAGGCCTCATCCTCGGCGCACTGGTGAGTAGCCCCGGGTTCGAATACTGCCCTCGCCGCACGTTATTTTTAAAGCAGATGATACCTTAGCCACGTTAGCGAGCTTCTCTTCTTGATTTTGTTTTGGGGAAAGGCAGTTTGTTGCGTTTTGTATGCCTAAATTCGGAACGTTATCGCTTGGCGGTCACGGTACTATCATCGGCTTGCGCGTTTATCAATCGGTACCGATAGAATGTGGGAGGTTCCCTGCCCAAGGGTGTGGTGCGAGATAACCTTAATGGCAGGAAAATGCGACTTAGTGCAATAGAGGGCAATAAATCAGCTCATCGCCGCAAGCGAGGGGGTATGCGCTCTCTGAACCTGTGTACCGACTATTACGCTATTACGCTCTATTACGCCACAAATTAATCGGAATTTAGCTTAAAACGGCCTAAAACACACCAAAATTGATAACATTTTGACAATTTTGGCCATTACGCGACTATTACGCGAGTATTACGCGTATTATTACGCGTGCTATTACAGATAGAGTGAACCGACTATTACGCGAGTGCAAACCCCCTCGGCCGCAAGTGTCAATACAAACGAATCCCTCTGGCGTACTTGATTGTTTATGATGATTTGACCGGTTTTTTTTTCGGCACAGCTCTGTGCCGGCTGCCTGGGCGCCGTGGCGGGGCAGGCGCTCTTCGTCCGAGAGGAGACTCTAGCGCAGCTCAGAGACACCAGGAGCACAGCGTCGCAGACAGGCAACTTCAACAACAATAACAATAATAACAATTTTAACAACAACCAGCGGCCCGGCCGGTCCGGCGCTAACGTCAGCAGACGGAACCCACAGCGGAGGGCTCCGGCCGCCGAGGACGTCGCACAGCAGCCCCAGAACGACAGGTACACTGTCAAAGTGGTCCAAAGGCTTGGAAAACTATGTCAGGACTTACTCCCCGTCGTCATTTTGTACTTGCCCATCTCTGGACCTTTTCCTGAACATATTGACTTTTGCAGGGCGAACCAGCTGCCCTGGGACCAGAGCCACCACCGGCGGAGGCCCGTCCAGGACAACGCCGAGGAGCAGGACTTCCTGAGGACCTCCGCGTCGCAGTACCCCCGGCAGCAGTACCAACAGCAGTTCACGTCCAGCGCCGCTGCCCAGAAGACCCCCAGTTCCAGAAGGGGCAGGTCAAGCCCTTCAAGAGCCAAGACTACGACGACAACGACGGGCAGTTTAACAACTTCAACAGCAGGAACCAGTACAACAACAACCAGTTTGGCGCCAACAACAACCAGTTCGGAGCCAACAACAATCAGTTCGGTGCGAACAACACCAGTTTGCCACCAACAATAACCAGTTCGGCAACCAGTTTGGAAGTAGCAACAACCACTTCAGTAATCAGTACACAACAATCAGTTTGGCGCCAACAGCAACAATAACAACAACCAGTTCGGAAACCAGCACAACGCAAACAACAACAATGAAAATAGAAGCAATAATCAGTTGAGGGGTGGCAACAGCGGCAATGGCGATAGGGTGACCTACCAGTTTACATCGGAAGGAAACCGCAACCAGGTCAGACAAAGTCGCCAGTTCCAGAACGGGTCGCAGCAGAGGCAGCACAAGCAGGAGCAGCAGTCCAACGGCTTTAACAACAATAACAACAATTTAAATGCCTTCAACAACAACAATAACTTCCAACAGAGACCGCCAGTGCGCAACCGCACGCCCCAGCAGATCAACAACGACTACACCTCATTCGGAACCAGCGGAACCGGCATCAGCAACAACAACTTCAACAAGTTCAGGAACAACGACGAGAACGACATCCACCGCCTGAGCCCGACCAACAGCTTCCCCACCGGCAGTCACCAGAGGATCAACTTCCAGCGGCCAACTTCGACGCAGCGGCCGCTGGACCAGTTCCCGGCCTCCAGGGCGACCGCCCTGCCCCAGACAGCACAGCGCCTCCCCCACGGTGACGCCCAGAAGGACGTCCTCAAGGACCGCGAACCCCAGCCCGCCATCAGTAAGCAAGGACTGCAGCGACTCGACGGACAAACAGGAACAACTTGAGTAGTATGGGATGCCCATTGTTGCAGGCCGCCATCTTGGGGGCCCGTGGTAGCAACAACCCTCCTTACTACTAACTTGAACTGAAACACAGCTCACTTAATGTTTACTCTTTTTGTACCGGGTTTTTCCACTTTTGAACTTGTGACCGTGTTGCAGACCGCGCGGCCCGCGTCCCCTCGCAGCCGCAAAGCACCGTCAACATCGACCAGACGGTACAGTCCATCCTCAACTGGATCCAGGGCATGTCCCGCACGCAGGAGCGCAGAGGTACGACTAGCATTGCATTACCAAATCAGCGTTCATTCGTAATTTGGAAAGTTAACCAAAAACAACAAACATTTTGTGCTAACGTTCCATGCAACTAAATGTTGTCCGAGCCATTTTTCGTTTTGGGCAAAATTCTTTAAACTTGTTTATTTTACAAATTTTGAAAGTCACGTCTACTAAGTAAAACAACAGCATGATAATGCCAATTAATAACGCCACGTGGGACTGACATTCAATCTATTCCAGCTCAACTTCGACGACTGTGCGGGTTTTGATGACACTCCGACCACTAACCTAATTAACAGAATTGTGTTTTCCTTTTCACACCACACGTCTGTACAGCTGCACGGTTAGTCATTGGCACTGCCTCACAGACCGGATGTCCTATCAGTAGCAACTGAATGCAGGATTTGCAGAATGATTCACTCCCCGAAAGGACCGAGCGGAGCAAAACAGTAACAAACTGAAACATTGCACAACATCGCGGCGACTCTCACACTGAGGCCGTGGGTTCGAATCCCAGGACGGACGCACAATGTAGAGGGTTTTATTTTAAAGGGAGGGGGATGTTTGTTGAAATGTGGAGTGGGGTCGTAGTTGGTTGGTGGAAGGTTTGCACCGTAGCTCCAGCCCCCTAAGTGCATGTGGACCTTGCAGCACGCCAACAGGGCCAACAGGGGCAGCCTGCCAGGCAGTACCTCCCGGCCGCGGAGGGCAACGCACGGCCTAGGCCCTTCCAGCCCAGCAGACCCGCCGACCCCAGTAAGCAGTACTCCCAAAACTAAAACAAAAAAAAACATTTCCTACTTGTTTCTTTCCACTGCCTTGCAAGTTCAGTTGTCTTCTGTCGCATTTGCTGAGTCGGTTTTGACGGTAAGACCGCGGACCGCTGGACGTGAACACAGCTGCACAAAGACCAGGGTGTAATTGCTTTTTCACTTGTACTGATAAAAAAAAAAATACTCAGAAACAAAATTTTTGGTGACGGGTTGGTATGCATGCGCACGGGTTTCGGTGACCAATTTAGATGAGCCGCTTCAGATAAAGAGGAATGCGTCAGAGACTTTTAAAAAGACGTCACTTTCCCGGCTGGACGCATGACTTGTCCCGTCAGTTGGACGTGCGTGACGCTCTTTCGGCCACTTCATTTCGCAAGCGGCAGCAACCACTCCAAGTGCAAACGCATCGTGGTACACCGCTTGGCAACGGCGTGTCTCGCCTTCCTGGTGCAGTCGACACAATCGGCGTGGATTGTCCAAAATGTAAAATACCGTGCCGAGGTGCACTTTTCCCTCGGCCTGTACATTGGCGCCGCTTCTTCGCCGCACGCCGGCCGCACGTTGTACATGTTTGTTGCCTTCCCCAGCGCGCCAGCAAGTGACCCCGCCGTCCAGGCAGTACCTGCCCGTGCCGGAGTCTCCCTCCGGCCCGTCCACCGAGGCGCCCAGGCCCTTCGAGACCCCCGTGCCCGAGCTTCCCACCGGGCCGGCGGAGACCCCCGCCCCCGGAACCGGACCAGCCCCTGGACCTGCCCCCGAGCCGGGCACCGAGCCCGCCCCCGGCCCTGGACCCGCCCCCGGGCCGGAGCCTGTGCCCTTCCCCATCCCGGAAACGCCCGCCCCCGAGCTAGAGACGCCCGCCCCTCCGGCGCCGACTGAGCCCGCCCCCGGCCCTGCTCCCGGCCCCGCCCCCGGCCCCACGGAAGCACCAGCCACCGAGGCCCCGCAGACGCCCGCCCCCACGGAGGCACCGACGCCGGCAGCGCCACAGGTACGGTCAGCCGGAAGCTCACCCAGCAGGATGGTTCCTCTCGCACTCGGAGCTAACTGGAGCGGCCATGTGCACTTGCAGGAGACCTTCGCACCCGAGACTCCGGGCCCCGAGGTGGTGACCGACGCGCCCGCCACGCCGGCACCGGAGGCGTTCACCGACGCGCCGACGCCGCCGCCGGAGGCCGTGACCGACGCCGCGGAGACGCCCGCACCGACCGACGCTCCGGCACCCACCTCCGCACCGGAGTCCCCCGGACCGGAACTGCCCGGGCCAGACGCCCCCGCACCGGAACAGCCCGCACCGGAAGGCGGCGTCACGACGACCCCGGACGACAACGGGGTGCACCCGCCGCACATCCACGCCATCGACGTGCAGTGTGCCAAGGACATGATGACCATCACCATTGAGTTCGACAAGCCCTACGACGGCATCATCTACTCCAAGGTATAGGCGCTGCTCGGCCGCAGCACAGAGGGCCACACGGGGCCAGAGGACCGATCGAGGCGGCCAATCTCTTGACGCGTTTTGACCTCCAGAGTCGCTAAAAAGGACTCGAACCGAGCGTGTGGACCGATGACCGATTCCATGTTCGGACAGCAATCCATTGGTGGGTTCACGTGCTCGATTCGAGTTCCATTTGGTGACTCTGGAGCTCAAACCGCGTCCCGGATTTCGACCGCCTCCACCGGCCTTATGGCCCACTGTGGGATAACCCGCCGGAGTCCGTCTCTCTGACCCTTGGTCTACGTTGCGCAGGGCTACTTCAAGGACCCCAACTGCCGCTACGTGCAGCCCAACTCGAACCAGATCAAGTACACCTTCACCGTGATGCTCAACTCGTGCGGCACCCAGTTCGTGGACGACTTCCAGGGCGCCGCCGGCCAGGCCTACCTGGAGAACGTCATCGTCCTCCAGAACGAGGAGGGCATCCAAGAGGTCGTCGCTGTCCCACTGCTCTGACGCTCTGTGTCTCTCGCGCCCCTAGGCACATAGAGCCAGAAGACCGGCGAAGGCGGCCAAAGTTCTAGACGCGTTTTGAGCTCCATGAGTTGCTAAATTGGACTCAAATCGACGTGCGACTCTATCAATGGGAGGAATCCATTGGTGGGGTTCGGTGGTTCGGTTCGAGTCTTATTTAGCGACTCTGGAGCTCAAAACGCGTCAAGAGTTTCTGTCCCCTCTACCGGTCTTCTGGCCCACCGTGCTCGGGACACTCCGGTGGTGCGAGAGAGGGACTTGGTTCGTAACGCCTGCCTTGTTCCAGGTGTGGGACTCGATCCGCAGCGTGCGATGCCTGTGGGAGGGCAACCTGAAGCAGGCGCTGACGGTGGCGCTGAGCGTGGGCAACCTCAACCAGGAGATCGTCACCTTCGGCGGCGACACGGGCATGGCCAAGCTGGACATCCAGGTGGGGCGCGGCCCCTTCGCGCCGGCAGCCAACGGGCTGGTCAAGATCGGCGAGGTGATGACACTGGTCGTGTCCGTGGAGGGCGACCCGGGCTTCGACGTGCAGGTGCGCGCGTGCGTGGCGCGCGACGCGGACTCGGCCAACCTGGTGCAGCTCACGGACGACAACGGCTGCGTGCTCAAGCCCAAGCTGCTGGGCGCCTTCCAGAAGACCAAGGACACGGGCAACACCGGAGCCTCCATCATCGCCTACGCCTTCTTCCAGGTGAGTCGCGGGTTCAAATACTCGGTCAACTTTTTTTTATTTTTCTCCGTGTGCAATCTACGAGTGATGGCGCGGTGCACTTTGATCGGCTAGAACGTGCCGCGACACCCGGCCGGCCGACGAGTGACACACAATCACAGCGGCCTGTGCTCGTTGCGCTCGTCCCACTAATCCGCGTCTTGTCCTTGGCAGGCCTTCAAGTTCCCGGACGTCATGGACCTTATCATCGAGTGCAGTGTGGACCTCTGCAAGACGGACTGCGAGATGTGCCCCAACCCCAACCAGGTGCGCACCGCAACCCTTTGAATTTGGTGTTTCTTTTTTCAGAGACATTTGCTTTAAAAAACAGTTTTTTGTTGTCTTTTTTTAAATTTTCGAGTCGAAACAGTTCATTTTATCCAACAAAATATTTCTTATTCATGATCTTTCGTCGGAGCATCACATTAAACTCTTGTGGACTTTTTAAATGCATAATTAAGCACTTTGTATTCATAATTATTTATTTAAAAAAGTCCACAAGAATTTAGTGTGATCAACTCATACAGTTCAAGAAATTGTCGTCTCGTGACAGTGAGCATTTTCTCGGTGCTCTTGGTGCACCCTGAGTGCAGAAAAACAATGGACCGATTGTCTGTTCGACACTGGAATGCACTCCACTACTGCATTCGACCGAATTTTATCGCAGTGATGAGAAACGCCGCGGAAAAAAACAGTCTGTGGCGCCACTCTTAAAGTACAAAGTGGGCGCGACAAGATTCACGCTATCTCCGTTTTCAAGAGCGCCCTTTCCACACTAGACATGCCAAGTTTTTTTTCTTTTTTTTTTTTCAAATCCCGCGGCAGTTTCAGACAGCCCGTTTAAAAATGATCTTGCCCGAAATCGTGCCGGATGACGGCAGGATTTCGGGCATGCCCGGCCGGCACGCCCGAAATCCGCCCCGAACCAGGAGTCCGGGCTTGCCGAAAAACGATCATTTTGTTGGAAAATAAACCGATTTTCGGCAATGCCGGACGCTTGCCGGGCATGCCGAAATCGTGCCGAACCGTCCCTCCCATTAAGGCGCCGGGGAGGGGGAGGTACCTGGATGGCGGATCCTATTCAGTCTCGCACACACGCACACTCGTACACACACAGACGCACATACACACTCACATACACACACACGTACACAGAACGCTGAAGGAGAAACACTGGTTAGTATTGGAACCCAGGACGACCGTCTTTGTGGACCGAGACGCTGCCAACTGCACCACGGAGGAGACCTGGGGAGGAGGCCTCATGCTCCCGATGCCTTCCAGCGAGCTCGCTCGACCCCGAGCGGCACTGGAGGGGGCGGGGGAGACACGCTGCTGGGGGAGGAGCGCGCGGCGAGCCCTGTGTCTTGACGAATAAGTAACCTCCGCGAGACTCTTGGGTTACTCGCGGAGAGCCCCTCGACTTTTGGACAAGGTGCGCGGGTTCAGCTGGGCACTTGGATCTAACAGCAGACTCGGTGAACTTGAGCGGAGGTAGAGCACTGCGTGTGGACTAGTCAACACGCGGATCCAGGCCCACTGGAAACCCAGGTCTCAGGCTCCCAAACCCAGTTATTGGGGTGTTGGCTCTTACACGCAAACCAGGTTCTTCGCTTCCTTATAATCCACGTACTCGAAGTAGTACCCTTTTCCCGCGGCTCATGTTATTGAGAGCCAGACCTTTTCTATAGGATGGCAAGCTAAAGTTACTATTTAGGTATGCTAAGGCTGTTAAGCATCAGTAGCTCAACGGATTCAACTGCATTCATTCAAGTACCCGTATCAAAGTGTTTAATTTGATTGGAGATTTGTTCAGTCAAAGAATTCAAAATTGTCCTACAAACATCTCGTTTGCACGGAATTTTCTAATTTTTCACGCCGGTTTTGATAGACTTGAAACTTAAGAAAGAATTTCACTATTTTAACTTTTCAATTTTGTACGCAGGTCAAAGACATTAACTTGACACTTCTTTGATTAGGGTCTCGATGCGCCCCGTCACTCGGGCATGCCCGGAATCATGCCGAAAGGCACGGGCACGCCCGAAATCCACCCGGCCGGGCAGCGGCCGGGGTCGCGGTACGATTCCGGGCCGCCCGCGACAGCGGGGCTCATTTCGGGCTTGCCGCGTGCCGGCGGCGGGTGGATTTCGGGCTTGCCGAGCGCATTTCGGCATCATTCAGGGCATGCCGGACACTTCGGCATCATTTCGACATCATTTCGACACATTCTCGGCACGATCTTTCTTAAACGGGAGTTTTCAACGTTGATCAAATTTTATTGATGCTGTTTTGTTTTTGTTGTTTAGAAACTGGAGCCCGGCGCGCGGAGACGCCGCCGCCGCGAAGCCTGGTCGGGCAACGCGACGCACGGCGACGCGGCGCTCCTGGCCGAGGACGAGCTGGGCGTGGTGATGGGCCGCCGCCTCAGGGTGTTCACCCCCGACGAGCTGCCCGTCGACGCCCTGCTGGAGGGCCCTGGCCAGGACGTCAACGCCACCACACTGCTGGGGGACAACGTCATCCACATGCCCGCCGAGTCAAGTGAGTTCTGGTGTGGCCGTTAGCGGTGGGTCTCCTGAGCCGAAGTCGGTTGTTCGAATACCACCGAGGTCTTGCTGTTTTTAAAAGCACGATGCACTGTCGTCGTTGAAAGGCACCTGCAGTCTTGCCACTGATCAGTCAGGTGTGTTGAACACCTGGCTATGTAGTCGAAATCCACGCTCAGCCTATCGCAGCCGTCAGGTGCACTAGTTATCAGCCAAACGCTATCGGACGACTCTGAAGGGTGGCCTGCCCCCTGCCATCCCGGGGGCTGATTTTGTATCAGTGCTCAGAGACTGGCCACCCTCTTTCCAAAAAGTCAGCTTTCCACGTCAAAGAAATTGACCGTCGACTCGGGTGTTCGAACCCGGTACCCCCTACTCCGCAGTCGACTCCGCAGACCCCTCGGCTAACGCGGCGCTCTGATTCCAGGACGGGCGGACGGCGTGTGCATGTCGCTGCCGGGCTTCGCGGCCTCCTCGGCCGTCATGCTGTCCCTGCTCACGGGGTCGTGCCTGCTCAGCGCCACCCTCTGGCTCAAACTGCAGCGGTCGCACCTCTCCAAGCACCTTGTCAACCAGTGAGCCGCGCCAAACTGCACTGTTGGAAAAGATTGGAAGACGAAAACCGAAACGGATTTGATGACGGTTCCCCCGCGCAGGTCGTGGCTCTGTGCACTGTCATTTGGTGCACAGCTTTTTCTTATTTATTTCTCGGCACAGAGAATTTCTTTCGGGGAAAGGCGCGGGGAACGGATGTGATGTCAAATTTTGCTCTCGAGTGATAAAACGGGATTGTTTCCAACAGTGTCTAGACTGACTAGACGAGCTCAAACTTTGAAGATCGGGCGTGGTCGTTTCCGCCTACAGAATCGACTGGATGCTTAAAAAGGAAGTATTTCGGACTCGAGTCGCAAAGTCAAACAGTAGTTACCGGTAGTTACCCCGCTGTATGTTACCACTCGGTGCCAAGACTCTTAACCGGCACCCGGTTTACGCCTTCTAACATAGTTACCTGATAGTTACCTTTGAGCCTCAGCTCCCCCTCTATTGCTGTGTATGTTTTGTTATCAGTGTTTTCCTTAATTTATTTTGTTATTTTGTCGCATTCTGAAGCAAAGTTGTTAATTGCGCTCTGTGACGGGCACTGCCATTTGCATAAAAGACCTGTAAGACAGTGACGCATCTTGCCCGGGTACATTCAAGTAATTTTGTAAATTGTTGTACTTACTGGTCAGCCTCCGCGCGCTTTCTGCCCTGCATGTCGGGATACTTGACTTACGGGTAGTATCAAGCGAGACTGGACCTGCCGCGGAGAAACTCACTTGCAAGATGCTCTTTATTTAAGTCCAGGCACTCGTCTTAAAATTTTGTGAGTTTCCTGTACCCATCTCTAGCGTTGTTCGGAGAACACCGCAGAGGATGGGGAGATTATTAAAAAAGCGTGCTAACTTTGCGAATTTTTCTCCTGTGTGTGAGTGAGTGTGCGTGTGTGTGTAGTAGTCCTACTGGAAAAGAGATGGCAAGATAATTATGTGTACATACGTGTGTCTAGCGATTATGGGTAGTAATAAACTCAATTTTGTACTATATGTATAAAACCCAGACTGTCGTGCTGACTCCATTCATTCTCCCCAGCGTCCTCATCACTGTTTCGCCTCGCGACCCGCTCCAAAGAGCGACGGAGTGCAGCAGAGAGTGACAGAGAGCAACTAACAGATGACTCACTCGCCCACCGAAAGTGAGCGTGCAACAGAATACGCCGCGGAGCACGCACACTGTGACAACGAACGCGGGCTTGCGTCGCTCTGTCTCTCTCGCACCCTCTCGGCACGCCCTCTGAGCGCGAGAGAGACAGAGCGATGACGCCGCTGCGTTACTCATCGCGTCGCGACGGCGAGGATTCGCACGTTCGCTTGCAGACACTCGGCTCGCCTCACCGAAAGGGAAGGACATTCGACCGGTTGCCTGCCTGCTGCCTACCCAGCAGAGAGAGAGAGAGAGAGGGGGAGAGAGAGAGAGGGAGAGAGAGAGAGAGAGAGAGAGAGAGAGAGAGAGAGAGAGAGAGAGCGCTCCGAGCGAATTCGATGATAGCACAGGCTTGCTGGATTGATGCGGGACGAAAAGCAGTGCCACCCGCGTATAAAAACACAGCAGTGAGTTGACTTAGATGGCACCGCGGGTGATAACGTGTGTGTGTGTGGGAGGGGGGGGGGTCTGGGAGCCTGGTCCAGCTGTAGCGGCGGAGCAGGCTGGGCGAGGGGGGAGGTGCGGCGCGGGGCGGGGCAGGCGGGTTCAGGGGAAATTAATGTCCCCGAAAAAGTCCCCTATTATGTCCGTTAGGAAAATCCTGAAGAAATATGTCCACGGTTTGGAAAAAATGCCCCCGTTTCGGCCGCTTGTCAAATGCCACCCTATTTGTTATCTGATAGCGACAAATAACTGACGCCCCCAATTTTAGGCCCGCCCCTTCCCAAATGGCATGCCCGGCAGCTAACAAGGCTGACCTTTAGTTGTACGGGGAATCGGGCTCGGCATACCCTCCGGCGGGGGCCTGGTCGCCTCCCGCCAACCCCCTGGGAAATCGCCTTGTTTTTCGCCATCTGGCTCCTGGGAAAACCAGGCACCGGTTACCGGGCGGACGGCGTACACCTGGACAGCCTGCATACCTTTGGCCCAAAACTTTCCCCCGCATTTGGCACCGTTTAGCTCCATGCTAAGCATAGGCGTTTGCAAGTGTGTACTTGCCAAGCATGTATTTGTAAGTGTGTACTTGGTAGACAATTAGGTTTGTAGTGTAAGTACCTGAAATTCCTTCCACCTTTCGTTGTAATCCTCGTAGCTATTGGCCAGAATATGAATCGTGCGTCGGCACATCTCATTCTTCTCATTCATGCCCATGGATGACATGGATGTGTCCAGCCCCAACCCCACCAAGTACTTGGTGGAGATCATGATCCTCAGACCTCCACTCGCAAACGATCCTCCACATGTTAGCATGATGCATGTCGACCACATTCGTTCGGTGCCGAAAAAACCTCAGGCCTTTATTAGGGGTGGTCATTAAATTATGGGACATTCTACCTTGGACATTGTGTGCATGGACGAAAAATCGATGGACAAAAACGGACCGGACATTTACCTGTGGACATTTCTTCACTGTACCGGGCAGGCGGGGCCGGGGAAGTTCAATGTCTGGGTCATCCTGCAGCGTGCCTGCAGCGTGCCTGCAGCGTCGTCGGCACGGTCCTGGAGGCTGCGCCTGCTGCGCCGGCCGCGCCTAGGCAGGAGCAGCTCGCCACGGCCCGGCCCCTACCTGCATCTGATGACGCGAACAATAAAACATGACGCCCCCCTTCCTCTCCAGCCCGCCCCGCCCCCTTCCACACTACGCACTCGGCCTGCCCGGCGAGCGGGTGCGAGAGAGACTGAGAGAGACTGAGAGGGGCGGGCGGTCGGGCTGCGGCATGCCGCGGTGGCCGGCGGGGTGCGGGGCTGCAGCCTCGCCTCGCCGCCACGCCGCCGCTGGCCGAGAGCCGAGTCAGTCCGTTCCGTTCTGTCAGGCAGTCTGGCATCCCCCGTCAAGGCGAGGGCAGCAGTAGAGGCAGCAACAGGCAGCACGGGGCGGAGCGCGCGGACGAGCCTGGACAGCCTGGACTAGCCTGGACCTCGAAAGCTTCGCCGCTATTTGGATTACACAGCTTCACGCTACAGCAACATGAGCAACAGCTTCCTGCACTTCACAGGTGAGTGGTGCTGGAGTCCAGGAGAGTTTTCGCTTCTGCTGCTAGGAATCCGGGGTTCACCCTCGCCCCCTTTCCACCACCCCTCCCCGATTCGTCCTCACTCGTCGTCGCGGAGGGCCAGTCGCGCCAGAAGACTGGGGGAGGCGGCCAAAATCCCGGACGCATTTTGAGCTCCAGAGCACTCCAGAGTCGCTGAATGGGACTCGAACCGAACGTGTAACCCTACCAATGGACTGCGCTCCGAACGAGGAAACCAAACCATTGGTGAGGTCACAAGCTCGATTCGAGTGCCGTTTAGCGACTCTGGAGCTCAAAACGCGTTGAGAATTTTGACCGCCTCCACCTGTCTTCTGGCAAATCCACTGTGAGGTGAATTGCGCTGACGCCGGCTGACGCGCTGCAAGCCGACAAGGAAAGAAATCATTCAGCGGAAAATGAGCTGTGTCTGGCCTGTCTAGCCTCGTTCCCATACACTGCAAGGTCTGCCTGGTTGCCGCCATGCCGCCATGCCACCGCACTGCAGTCTCGCGATCATCACGTGCAACGCAGTGCAGCGCCGCGACTTCCTTGACCGGCGTGCCGTTCTGTCTCTCTCGCACCCGCACGGGGCTGCGGCACGCAGGCGGGACGCCCCGTGGGTGCGAGAGAGACAGCGCGACACTGCCGCAGCGCGGGCTGGAGTGCACTGTAGAGGCGGGGGAAATCACGTGTTTACGCTGGAGTCGCTTATTTTTTCCCTTTTCGCTTCGTCTTCCTTTCTTTTTTTCTCTGTCGCCTGCTTCTGGTTTGTGCCGCCGCCCTAAGCAGGGACGAGGAAAGAAGCTGCCCACAGCACAGTGGGCCAGAAGACCGGTGGGGGCGGCAAAAACTCTAGACGCGTTTTGATCTCCAGAGACGCGAACCGAACGTGTGACCCCACCAATGCATTCCTCGTTCGCTCTGCAATCCATTGGTGGGGTCACACGTTCGGATCGAGCCCCACTTAGCGACTCTGGAGCTGAAAACTTGTGTGGAATTTTGGCCACCTCCACCGGTCTTCTGGCCCACTGTGCACAGTGCCGAAGAGCGAGCACTGTAAGCTATGCATCTCGCTTTCGAAATCCCCAGGTGAGGATTTGGAAGGCGGGCTCGGAAACTGTGAAAAAAGCTTCACAAACTTCAAAACTTGAAGCTTTTAAACTTTAAAAGTGGGCCCCATCGTAAATGACGTTCGGGATCGACAAACGGGGGGATTCCGACCGAGCGGTGGGGAGGGGGTCACCTGCTACACGAGATGCAGCTCAAGGTGAAGGAGGCAACTAACCACACGGAGGAGGACGGTCTGTGTGAGTGAGAGAGTGCAAGTAGCGAGTGCGTGCGCGCGCGTGTGAGCGCTGCTAACACGGCCTTCGAACGGCTTAGTTTCCAAGCCGGCAGCTCAGGCCGACGGAAATCTAATTGGGCGTCGAGTCACAACAGCGTGCTCAGGCATTAGTGCCCCACCACACCACGCCCCGCCTTACCCCGCCCCGCCCCACCCCACCTCAGCCCGCCCCGCCCTAGGCCGGCCAGTAACCCAGCTGACGACGCACCGGCACGTCATCCCAGCGGGGCAGCTCGCCTCAGCGCTTCGTTCCCTCAGGGTTCCCTCGTTGGTTCGAGCTTCGGCAGCGTCTCAGTGGCGGTCATTGTCGAACCTCAGACAGGGAGATCGGGGCAGCGTCGTCCCAGCGCGGCCTCGTTCACAGTGTGGGTGCTGTATACAAAGCTGGAGGCTGCGTCCGCTGCGTGTTATCGTGTCAGATTGCGGGTCCAGCCGGGTTCGAGGGGGCGGGGGGAATCGACGGAGGGAGCAGTGACACCCCTTGTGACACCCGCATCACTTCGATTGCGTCCAACACACACACACACACACACACACACACACACACACACACCAGTTTGTAAGGTTTGACCCGGCCCGGCTGCCAAGCTGGTCCAGCGTCTTATCACAGCGTCCCCTCTCCGATAAGTCCCCACGAGGTCGGCTACGCACAGTGGGCCAGAAGACCGGTGGGGCCAAAACTCCAGCCCTACCAAAACCCCACCAATGGATTGCTCTCCGAACGAGGAATCCATTGGTGGGGTCACGTTCGGTTCGAGTCCCATTTAGCGACTCTGGAGCCCAAAACACGTCTAGGGTTTTGGCCGCCCCCACCGGTCTTCTGGCCCACTGTGCCCCGGCCAGCCCCGGCTCGGTCCGGGCCACCCTTATGGGCTTTCCCTCTCCGTCCGGGCCACCTTTCACTGCAATCACCGTATCACTGCCTCACACGCGAGAAGCGGCCTGGCGATACCGGCGTGCTATCGGGCCTGGGCCTGGCTCGGGCCTGGCTCGGGCCTGGCTCGGGCCGCCGCCACAACACGCAGCGCACGCAGCCCTATCGGCCAATCCAGACCAGCCCTTCGCCTTCCCGCGGCCGACCGCGAGGACACGCGTCCTGACTCATGAGGAAAACCCGCTGGGCGTCTCCGAAAAGACACGCAAAAACACTAGGACTATTTAGTGTGTATCACAGCGGTTCCCAACCTTTTTCGGTTCGCGACCCCAAATTTGTAGCCAAAAATTTCCGCGACCCCCAGGAAAAATTTCGCGACCCCACGCGACCCCTCCTTTAGCATGCCTTTGATACAAAGTGCGATAATCTGCCTTAGTTCGGGAGCAGTATTGTCTCAAAGTTGATCAAAACCGTCACAAATGTCTTTGAAAAATCGTGCTTTGGGCCGACTTTCGGCATCCACTGCGTCTGATACGAGGCGGTATTTCGTCCTCCCTCAACGGGCAATTGGTCTTTGGACCTTCCTTTTGCATGCCTTTGTTGCGGAGTGCGATTATCTGCCTTAGTTTGGGAGCAGTACTGCCGCAAAGTTGATCAAAACGGTCACAAATGTCTTTAAAAAATCGTGTTTTGGGCCAACTTTAAGCATCCACTGCGTCTGATCCGAGGCGGTATTTCGTCCTCCCTCAACGGGCAATTGGTCTTTGGACCTTCCTTTTGCATGCCTTTGTTACGGAGTGCGATTATCTGCCTTAGTTTGGGAGCAGTTTTGCCGCAAAGTTGATCAAAACGGTCACAAATATCTGAAAACTCGTGGGTTGATCAACTTTGCGGTAATACTGCTCCCAAACTAAGGCAGATAATCGCACTCCGTAACAAAGGCATGCAAAAGGAAGGTCCAAAGACCAATTGCCCGTTGAGGGAGGACGAAATACCACTTCGGATCAGACGCAGTGGATGCTTAAAGTCGACCCAAAACACGATTTTTCAAAGACATTTGTGACCGTTTTGATCAACTTTTGCGGCATTTAAGCAGCCACTGCGTCTGATCCAAGGCGGTAATTTCATCCTCCCACAACGGGCAATTGGTCTTTGGACCTTCCTTTAGCATGCTTTTGTTACGAAGTGTGATTATCTGCCTTAGTTTGGGAGCAGTATTGCCGCAAAGTTGTTCCCGCCACCGCGACCCCTGGTGACCCCAGGCGACCTCAGGCGACCCCAGGCGACCCCAGCCACCTCGCCGCGACCCCTCGAGTTTTTTTCGCGACCCCATTTGGGGTCGTGACCCCATGGTTGGGAACCGCTGGTGTATCATCAGCTGGTTGATGACATTCTTATAATTGTCGCCGAGCGCTGAGGCAGATCCAGAGGCGACCTAAGGGCGGGGCGAAGTAGCACTTTTTGTCTACTTACAGGGGGAAAACATGACGTTTGGCCTACTTACAGGGGCAAAGTATGACTTTTGGCCTATCTTTGAGGCGGTATCTAGGTGGCATGGCAGGGGCAAGTGGCCCGGTCCCCGTCTCTGTGGATCCGGGCTTGACCAAGCAGCGACCCAAAACTTTGATTGTGCGCTAATTTTTGTCGTTGTTGTTCGGCAGGCGCGGCGGTGGCGCTGCTGGCGCTGCTTGCGGCCGCGGCGGCGGACTGCGGCTTCCACGCGGACTGCCGCCCCGGCGAGACGTACCGCGTCGCCATCCCCTGCGACGGCAAGTGCGCCAGCTACGTGCAGTGCGCCGACGGCGAGGCCGCCGAGAAGAAGTGCGGCAAGTTCTTCTTCACGCAGAAGTACTTCGACCCCGTCAAGCTGGACTGCGTGCGCGACGCGGTGGACTGCGACTGGTGGAAGAAGGTGACGACCAGCACCGCCGCGCCGACCCCCACCACCACGGCCGAGCCGGAGACCACGCCGTCGACCGCCAGCACCGAGACCACGCCGACGACGAGCACCGAGGCCAGCAGCACCACCACGGTGAGCTACGCGCATTCTCCCGTAAATAGCGAAGCGTTTTCTTTGCAAGCTTGTGTACGCTCTGGACTTTTTATAACGTGCAATTTTCTTTGCAACGCATGAAATTTATGGTTTCCAGAGTGCACACGGTGCACTCGTTTGAGTACCCATAATGACACTGGCCTCCTCGCCCGCAGGCTTCTCCCGACACCACGCCGCAGCCACCCTCCACGACGCCCACCCCCAGCTCGTCCAGCCCGCCGCCGCCGCCAGCGCCGCAGCCCACCGACTCGGCCGCCGCCCCCCTGGCCGCCGCCTGGCCCGCCCTCTTCGCGGCCGCGGTCGCCCTCGCCCTGTGAGGAAGACTCTACTTTTGTGGTTGGCTGTACATAAATCCGAGCCAGGACTCTGAGACCAGGGCGTCGACTGCCGCGCCCCGCCGTGGATTCGCCGTGCCATGCCGTGCCGTGCCGCGCAAGCCTGGACCGCGAGTGGCTGACGCTGGCCTCTGGGAAATGCGCGCCTGCGGGCTGATTCGGAACAGCCGCTTTTCGTCGCTATCTCTCTCGCACTCGTACAGGACGCCCCGTGAGTGCGACAGAGACGGAAGCGCTTGTTCGGAATCGGTCTGTCGACACGCGGATTTCGTGACTGTGGATCCCTCGCGGCCCGGGCTGCCCCAACGGTGGTGGAGCAGGGCCTCCTGTCCCACCCCTTCTTCCACCGACTGTCCCTTCCGAAAGAAACATTTATTGTAGCACAACCGAGAGCACAACGACGAAGAGAGACTTCAGACTGGAGTGTGTCTAGCGGGGACACGAACAAACTGTGATGTATGTTGTGAATTGTACCTTCTGATTGTAAATATTTGTATGCAAATTATATACTGAATTTGGACAAAACGGGAGTATCTCATTTCACGCACACCTGGTGCCCTTGACTGGTCCGCTGATAGCAAGATTTGGGGATTAGTGTTGTTGTGAGGCGAGTGGCAGGTCGGACCCGTCAGTCGATATAAAGAAAGGCCCGTAGCTGGGCGCAGAGCCACACGCACAACGCAATGCAGGTCCTCGCGCTCGTCGTCGGTGAGTGTCAAACGACCACCGCCAAACACCCACTTGCACCAAGTTGACGAGAATGTCACGTGACAGGGGCGGCGCTGGTGGCGGCATGGGGCGCCACGGGTCTTCCAGTGCAGGAGGCGCGGGGGCTCCGCGCGGACGTCTGCGACGCCGTGGACTGCTCCAGGGGCCCGAGGAGGCAACTCATCCCCGGAAACCTGGAGGAGTGCGAGAGCGGCCATTACTGCCAGTGTGACAACGGCAGGGCGCAGCGCATCAAGTGCCCCTTCATCTGGTTCGTGAAGCGGTACTTGAACCCGGACACCCAGGACTGCGAGCTCGGCTTCGACTGCAGAGACTGGATGAACAAGCACCCTCCGACAACGGCGCCACCCCCCACGACAGAGCCCACCACAGAGCCTACGACAGGGCCAACAACATTGCCCACGACAGAGCCAACGACAGAGCCCACACCAGAGCCCACGACAGTGCCCACGTCAGAGCCAACAACTGAGCCGACAACTGAGCCGACTTTGCCCACAACAGTGCCCACGACAGTGCCCACGACAATGCCCACGACCGTGCCCACGACAGAGCCCACGCCCCATAGGAACATCCACGTGGATGAGACGTGGACGCAACGTTACTTTTCACGTGGAATCGACGTGGATGGTCGACTTGACAATCGAGTAGAAACGTCCAAGTCAAACTACGTGGATGCAACGTGGATTCAGCAACTCGCCTTATCCACCTACCATCGATTTTACATCGAGGCGCGTACCGGTCATTCTGAGCTTGGTGAAGCATAATTCGAATGAGTCGATAATCGATGTGAAATCTATCTCTCAACGTACTCTGCATTCATGTTAGAAAGTCCTCTCGCGGTTGATTAACGTGAGGACGTCTAAAAATCATACGATCGAGACAATTCCTATGAAGACCACGTCAAGTCCACTTAGGTTGTCCGACGAGCATGGTAGTATGGCTCTAGGACATGGTGAATTGGCATCCTACTTGCAGGTCGAGAGGGTAAGGAAAGACAAAAATATCAGCAGGCCCTCTGTCGGCAGCTTTCAAAACTAATCAAGTTCCACAGTCCTCACATAATCTTCGTTGAATCCACGTGGAAGTCTGAATCCTCTGCGATGAATCCGGCATCGACAGACGACCATGCTTCAATGAATTTGGATACGTGTGATCAACATTGAAATCGTGTAGAAAAGTTAAGGCGCTCAATCCACATACCATTGATATCGATAGGACCGCTCTGGATACTCGTCACAAGGTCACCGTATTATCGACGTAGACACAACGTCCCTAAAATCCGTTGGACTATCCACGTGGAGTCAACGTTGGTTTACTATGGACCACCATAGACGCCCAAATCGATGTTAAATCAACGTGAAAGTCACGTGGATTTAAGGTAGAAAAATGCTATCCACCTAATCCACCTATCTCACGTGGATTCTACGTGGATGGTACGTGGTTGTTCCCATGGGGCGACAGAGCCAACGACAGCGCCCACGACAGAGCCCACGACAGTGCCCACGACAGCGCCCACGACAGTGCCCACGACTGAGCCGACAACTGACCCAACGACAGTGTACACAACAAAGCCCACGACAGAGCCCACGACAGAGCCCACAACTGAGCCCACGACAGTGCCCACGACAGAGCCAACGACTGAGCCCACCACAGAGCCCACCACAGAGCCTACGACAGAGCCAACAACAGAGCCCGCGACAGATCCAACAACATTGCCCACGACAGAGCCAACGACAGAGCCCACATCAGAGCCCACGACAGTGCCCACGACAGAGCCAACGACAGAGCCCACGACAGAGCCCACGACAGAGCCAACGACAGAGCCAACGACAGAGCCAATGACAGAGCCAACGACAGAGCCAACGACAGAGCCAACGACAGAGCCAACGACTGAGCCGCCAACTGAGCCGACTGTGCCCACAACAGTGCCCACGACAGTGCCCACGAGAGTGCCCACGACAGTGCCCACGACAGAGCCGACAACTGACCCAACGACAGTGTACACAACAGAGCCCACGACAGAGCCCACGACAGAGCCCACAACTGAGCCCACGAGAGTGCCCACGACAGTGCCCACGACAGAGCCCACGACAGAGCCAACGACAGCGCCCACATCAGAGCCCACGACAGCGCCCACGACAGAGCCCATGACAGTGCCTACGACTGAGCGAACCACTGAGCCGACAACTGACCCAACGACAGTGCAAACAACAGAGCCCACGACAGTGCCCACGACTCAAAGAACGACTGAGCCGACAAATGAGCCAACGACAGTGCCCACAACAGAGCCAACGACAGAGTCCACGACAGTGCCCCCGACTGTGCCAACGACTGATCCGACAACTGAGGCAACGACAGTGCCCACGACAGAACCGACACGGACAGAGCCAACGATAGGGTCAACGACTGAGGCAACGATAGAACCCACGACAGTGTCTACGACAGAGGCAACGAATGATCCGACTACAGTGCCCACGACTGTGCCTCCGACTGAGCCAACTACTGAGCCAACGGCAGTGCCTACGACTGAGACAACGACTGAGCCAATGACGAAGGCAACAACGGAGCCGACGACTGAGCCAACAACAGTGCCAACGACTGATCCTACTACAGTGCCGACGACAGTGACCACGACAGTGGCCACGACAGAGCCTACTTCAGTTTCCACAACAGAGCCAACGACGGACCCGACAGTATCCACGATAGAGCCAACGACCGATCCAACTGCAGTGCCGACGACAGAGCCAACTACAGTGCCCTCGACAGAGCCACCGACTGAGCCAACGACTGAGCCAATAACGGTGTCCACGACAGAACCAACTACAGAGTTCACAACGGAGCTACCGACAGCACCTACGACCGAGCAAACTGAGCCCACAACTGGGCAAACAACAGTTTTCACTTTGTCCTCGACTGAGGCCACGATAGAGCCAACTACAGAGGGTACCACTGAGCCCGCGACAGTGACAGTCTCCGACACTGCCCCCACGACTGAATCTACGGCCGTCTCTACGTCAAAGTCAACGTCCGAGTCTTCTACGGAGCCTTCTACGGAACTGACAACGACGCATGCAACTGCACCAACCACTGAAACACTGTCCACTGAGGCAACAACCGAGGCCACCGAAGCACACCCTACTAGTCTCACGAGTACACCCACAGCCGTGGAAACGACCTACCCCACTGAACCCTTTACTGAAAGCTCAACTTTAACCAGCACGACGCCCGTGCCGCCTGATTCGACCACAGCTGACTTATCTTCGGAAGCGCCCGCGTCAACAAGTGGCCTACACTCGACGTCCACGTCGCGTCCAGAATCTTCGACGACCCCCTCGAAGCCCACAGCGTCTCCTAGCTGGTGCACTGACGCCGTGGAGGACCTGATGATGCCCGACCCCGCCGACTGCAGCAGATACATCCGCTGCTCACACGGCCGGTCCTGGAACATGCCCTGCGCGCCGGGGACCTGGTTCAGCTTCGCTAGCCAGGGCTGCGTCTTCCCCTGGCAGTCTGACTGCCACCAGAAACAATAATCGCAATTCGCTTTATTCTTATCTTAAGTTGCCTAAAGTCGCCTCTGACATTTTAACAAATGAATCAAACTGTTCGAGATTGCATTATTTATCAGTAGAGCACCTGATTCGCGTCGTTTGCTGATTAAAAGATTAACCGGGCTGAGAGTCACATTCCTCCCACATACTTTCGATAAGACCTCGGAGCCTGATTTTGCATAGCTTAGCAGTGTCTACTGACTCTTCGTCGGGAAAGGACCTCGGAACCAGCCATGAAAGTCCTCCAGGCTGTGACAATCGGTGAGTACCAGCTTCGTGTTTTGGCGTCGCTCATGCACTATTTCACCCCTGTGTGTTGATCGGTCGCTGTTACTGCCTTGTTGTAACGTGACGCCTTGCTTGTCCAGCGATGGCGGTGGCCACCCTGTGTCTGCTCCAGGCACTGCAGACAGAGGCCAGGGATATCCGTCAGGGCGGACACCAAGTGTTCCTGCGACCCCCAGGGCCCCGCCTACCAGCTCCTGCGCGGGGACAACCAGGTCCACAATTGCGAGGTGGGATTCTACTGCGACTGTGCCAAGGAAAAAAGACTGCAGTGCTTCGCGCCGCCCTTTATCAAGTGGAAGTACGACGAAGACAACCAGTGGTGCGCGCTCAATTTCGACTGTGCGGCCTTCTTCAAGAGGGCAACCACCACCACCGAGCCCCCTACAACCACCACCGAGCCTACTACCGCTGAGCCTACAACCACCGAACCAACAACGACCGAGCCACCAACCACTGAACCTTCAACAACTGAACCCACTACCACCACCGAACCAACAACTACCGAGGCACCAACCACTGAGCCTACTACCACCGAGCCGACAACCACTGAACCAACAACCACTGAGCCTCCGACCACTGAGCCAACAACCACCACTCCCAAGCCCACAACCGAGCCGGCCACGACAGCAACTGAGGCCGCTACCACCACGGTCGAGCCGACGACCACAGAGCTCCCCAGTTCAACTCCACGCACTGCTTGCAGCTGCGACCCCAACGGCCCCGACTACCAGCTGATTCGCGGTGCTGACGAGGTGGAGAAGTGTGATGACGGGTACTACTGCGACTGCGAGTACGGCGAGGTGGACCGCTGCTTGGACGTGCTGGGATACGGCTGGCGGTTTGACGAGGAAACCCAAGGGTGCGAGTTCGAGTTCGACTGCGAAGCTTACCTGAGACCCACGACGACGGCTGAGCCGTCAACCACGACAACTGAGGCTACAACCACCGAGTCTCCAACAACTGAGCCCTCTACTACCGAGCCGTCAACCACTGAGCCTTCAACCACAACGACCGAGGCCCCAACCACCACCGAACCTCCAACGACCGAGCCCTCAACCACTGAGCCTTCAACCACGACGACAGAGGCCTCAACGACCACCGAGCCTCCAACCACCGAGCCTTCAACCACCGAGCCTCCAACCACAGAGCCTTCAACAACCGAGCCTTCAACCACTGAGCCCCCCACCCCCGAGCCTACACCCAGTACTCCCGCTCCCGGCCCGCTGCCCGAATGCACCTGCGACTGGTGGTGGGGCCACTTGTACCAGCTGATCCGCGGCGAGGACCAGGCCAGCTCGTGCTCGCACGGGTACTACTGCGACTGCAGTGAGAACAAGCGTCTGCGTTGCGCCAATGTGCTGACCCTGGGCTGGAGATTCGACGAGGACGAACAGAAGTGCAGGCTGTTCCACAGCTGCAGAGCACTTTCCAACTAGTCTCTGCCAGCGCGAAAAAAATTGCTAAATTTCCCGGTGCCTTAAGATAATGTGGAAATAAATGAGCAACATTGCATTGAAAAGTCTCTTTTGATAACTCTCTACCCCTATGGCCTGACCGGCCCCGACCTTCCACCTTTGCAGCGTAGCACAAAGAGCAGTCAATTAGTTGTTGACACGATTCATTTGTAAATACGAGTAACTGTCAAAGCAGAGAAGAAGCAGTCAGAGAAGAAATTTTAGGACTGCCCAAGTGCACGCCACGCTGCGACCTCGGCTGCCAAAGCTTACAGCCATGGTCATGTGACACCTTGGTTTTACCAAGATCTAAAGCTGCAATTTTAATTATATTAGAATTTTGCTCTTGTCATATTAATTTGATTTCAGGATGTTTTCTAGGTAGTTGTTTCAAATTTGTTCTTTGACAGACAAAACTGGGATGAAGTGTATCTATATAACTTCTTATATAACCGAGTTATAAATTTTATACTGTTTTCATTTACCGTGCTATCAAGGACTTCCGGTCCTGAGCATTGGGCGAAGCCAAGGGCACTTCTTGGTCAAAGTTGAAGTGGAGGACCCCTGGTCGCTTTAAATTGTAGTTTTCAATTATTGTCTGTAATCTTAAAATTGATAAGAATATATCTGAATCACACCGGAGACACGTCCTTAAAACGAAAGCCATCGATGGCGCAACCTGAGCAGTCTCCTCCGACTCCCCGACGGAAGCGGACCTCTCAGCATTTCCCTGCAACAATGAGGATCCCCACAGCCATAGGTGAGTCGTGGCCTCCTTGTTCATCATCCCCAGCTAGAACAGACTGCTTGACAATCTGACTGCTCTTCTCCCGGTGCCCTCAGTGCCCCTGGCCGTGCTGTGCGCCCTGGCCGCCACCGTGCAGGCCAAGTCGGCGACCCACTTGAAGGACGCGGCGGACGACTACTGCGCCAGCTGCGTGGACGGCGACGCCCCGCGTTATCAGCCAGTCCGTGGAGCCGACGAAGTGAGAATTTGCGAAGATGGCTACTACTGCGACTGCCAGGCCGGGCGAAAGTTGAAGTGCGCCACCGTGTTTTGGGTGCACGGCAATTTTGATCCTGACCGTCCAGACAGCGCGTGCAGTATCACTCACAGCTGCCTGAAATGGTTTGAAGACCACCCGCTGCCAACTCCAGCCAGCCCAACTACATCTCCGGCCAGCTCGTCCCCCTCTCCAGCCAGTTCGTCGGTTTCTCCATCAAGTTCATCTCCTTCCCCAGCCAGCTCATCCATTTCTCCACCTAGTACATCTCCTTCCCCAGCCAGTTCGTCCCTTTCTCCATCAAGCACATCCTCTCCAGTCAGTTCGTCCCTTTCTCCATCTAGTAATTCTCCTGCTACAGCCAGTTCCTCCGCACATCCATCGAGCACTTTCTCTCCAGCCAGTTCGTCCCTTTCTCCATCTAGTAAATCCCCTTCTCCGATCAGTTCGTCTCTTTCTCCATCTAGTTCCTCTCCTTCTCCAGCCAGTTCCTCCGTTTCTCCACTTAGTACATCTCCTTCCCCAATCAGCTCGTCTCTTTCTCCATCTAGTACATCTTCTCCAGTCACTTCGTCTCTTTCTCCATCTAGTACTTCTCCAGCCAGTTCGTCTCTGTCTCCATCTAGTACATCCCATTCTCCAGCCAGCTCATCCCTGTATCCATCCAGCACAACCTCTACGACGACTACCTCATCCCCGTCTACGCCCGTCCCGTCTTCAACCTGCCTTCCAACGAAGTGCCCTTGGAAGCTGTCCCTGATGCTGCCGGACCCTGCTGACTGCCAGAGATACATCCGCTGCCATCAGGGCCAATCCTGGAACATGGCGTGCGCCCCTGGAACATGGTTCAGCTTCTCGCGCCAGGCCTGCGTCTACCTTTCGCAGTCGGATTGTGTCCAAAACGAATAAATGTTAATTTACTTAAATCCAACTGGGAATTATTTCTTTTCGGGTTCCCTCCATCACACATCCCCAGTAAGACGGAGCAAAGTAAAAATTGCATCAAAGTCAAGCCAAGAATCTTCTGGAAGACCGCTTTGCACGCGAAGTCAAGGCATTATGTAATGAAGCAGCGGACGGGGACCACTTAAGAGACACTTATTTTCCTGTCCTAATCTTATTTTCGATAAGAATTGAACCGGAGATTGCACCTGACTGCATCGTACCGCTCCCCGTGGCGGCCAGCCAAGCAGTCATCTCAGGTTCGTTGAGGAGCTGCAGACGTACTACATTGCCACCATGAGGATTATCACTCGCATGGGTGAGTCGGCCATCTCAACCGCGTGCCTTTTCAGACAGCCTCCTTGGAGTGGCGAGTTCATAAGCGGCCGTTTGGGAAAATGGGGGGGCTGTCACCTTCCCCCTCCCCCCTCTCTCCTTCCTGTTTTTCCCCTGGATCCACGCTTGACTCATTGCAAAATGTTTTGCTCTCCACGCAGTGTCCGTGGCCATGCTGTGCGCTTTGGCAGCCGCCGTGCAGGCCAAGTCACCTGGGTCAAAGACCGTCCTGCCCACCCTCAAGGACGACGCTGACGTCTACTGCGGCAGCTGCAAGGACGGCCAAAGCCCAGACAACCGGCCCATCCGCGGCTCCAACGAAGTGAAACTCTGCGAAGACGGCTACTACTGCAACTGCATCGAAGGCACAAAGGTCCAGTGTCCCGGCGTATTCGGGATCCACGGGAAGTTCAACCCAGACAACCCCGACGCGTTGACGTGCAGCATGACCCACAACTGCCAGAAATGGTTTGACGAGCACCCGGACCCGGTGGTCACCACGGCATCACCCGGCACACCTGCCACCCCACCGACACCTACTACCCCACCGACACCTCCCACCGTACAGACACCTACTACCCCAGCCCCACCATGTACTCCGCCTACGCCCGCCACCCCTGCCACACCCGCCACTCCCAGAACCCCAGCAACCACACCTTCTCCATCCAGCACGTCTCCGTCTCCACCCAGCCCGCCGTCAGCCTGCGTGCCAACGCAGTGCCCCAGTAAGGTGGCGGAGCTGATGCTGCCCGACCCTGCCGACTGCAACAGGTACATCCGCTGCTACTACGGCCGGGCCTGGAACATGCCCTGCGCTCCCGGAACGTGGTTTAGCTTCTTGCGCCAAGGATGCGTCTACCGCTCGCAGTCCGAGTGTGTTCAAAACTAGGGAATGTTTATTTCAATAAACTCAAAACGCATCAAGGATTGTGCTTTGTACTCGCCCTGTCAACTGCCTGTCTTAGATTTTGAATAAATTGAACCTTCTAAGCTGTTGCATACTAAAACATTACTGATTCTGCCGTCGACCTCACTTGCAGTACTGTGACCTTGATGCACTATCGTAAAACCGAATAATAAGGGAGCACATCAAGCATACTTATTGACAAGCACTCTGGCGCCTGATTGTGAAACGTTGTCCTTGAACGCACGTCCATAGATAGTCAGAAAAGTTGAAAACATGAGCAGATTTTTCAGTTTCACGTTTCAAACCAAGGTAGCAGAATTTACCCATTTAAACCTGCATTTTTAAAACCGAGAAAACTAAGAAGTGGTCTTACAACACGCTTAGTGAACCCTTTTCTTTAAACAACGTGCCTGCGTTTTGTTCCAGAGGGCTCTTTAAAATATCCTGCCCAATCAAATTTGAGTCCCACTAGGAGTTAATGGCCCATGCAATTCGATTAAACCAATTCCTGAGCACTGATTAAATAAAATGATAAGATCCACTCCGAAACATTTGAAACAACAGCTGCCAGTGTCTGCTCGCGTCTTGTCGGGGAAGGACCTCACTTTGGCAGCCATGAACGCTGCCTTCCAGACCGCCGGTGAGTCAGCAAACTGCCAGTACTCTCTAGAAACCTATCCGAGCCCGTGGTTTACAGTCTAATTTTAAAGCCTTCACACTAACTCTGCGCTGCGTGCGCACTACATAACGGTCATGGCAGGGACCTTTATAAATTCAGTTTCTGTCTTTTGGGCTAAAGGCCCCTACTCTACCCAACCTAAATGTTCGTGATGCCACAGTGTTGGCGGTGGGGCTGTTCCTGCTGCTGGTCGCTGAAGTCACCGAGGCCAGGGGGGACGTCGGGGCGGACGTGGCCTGCGCGTCGTGCGACCCAAACGGCCCGCACTACCAGCTCATCCGCGGCGACCGCCAGGTCAAAAACTGCGAGGTGGGCTTCTACTGCAACTGCCACAACGGCAAAAAGATGCAGTGCTTCGCGCCGCCCTTCATCAAGTGGAAGTACGACGAGGTCCACCAGGTGTGTGACGCCAACTTCAACTGCAAGAAGTTCTTCGACAACCTGACGACTACCCCCGTGCCCACGACTGTGCCGCCTTCTGAGCCTACCACTGAACTCACATCAGCACCCACCCCTGCACCTACCCCTGCACCCACCTCTGATCTAACCACTGGCAACACTGAAACGACTGCTGTCCCTTCGTCAGAGCCCACGCCGAACTCCCCTGAACCCACCCCGAACACACCCTCTGATCCGACGACAGTGCCAACTCCTGAAACAACCCCTGAACCCACCCCTAAACCCACCGCTCAGCCCACCCCTGAACCTACCTCAGAGCCCACCCCACAGCCTACTCAACCCACCCCTCCCGAACCCACCCCCGAGCCCACGCCACAGCCCACGCCACAGCCCACCCCACAGCCCACCACAGGGCGGCCTCCACAGTGCACCTGCAACCCCGACGGCCCGCACTACCAGCTGCTCCGCGGGGACAACCAGGTCCACAACTGCGAGGTTGGCTTCTACTGCGACTGCCGCAAGGGCAAGAAGCTCCAGTGCTTTGCTCCACCCTTCATCAAGTGGAAGTACAACGAGGTGCACCAGGTTTGCGACGCCAACTTCGACTGCCAGAAGTTCTTCGACAACCTGACAACCACCCCCGTGCCGACCACCGAGGTCGCCCCTTCCGGGCCCACCCCCGAGCCCAGCCCGCAGCCCAGCCCGCAGCCCACCCCACAGCCCACCACAGCGCGGCCCCCACAGTGCGCCTGCAACCCCGACGGCCCACACTACCAGCTCATCCGCAGCGACCGTGAGGTGCGCGACTGCGAGGTGGGCTTCTACTGCGACTGCCGCAAGGGCAAGAAGCTGCAGTGCTTCGCTCCGCCCTTCATCAAGTGGAAGTACGACGAGGTGCACCAGGTGTGTGACGCCAACTTCGACTGCCAGAAGTTCTTCGACAACGAGCACAGCACCCCGGCGCCGGACGGCCCGACGGCGTCCCCGGAGCCCACCACCAGCGCGCCGCCGCGAGGCTGCAGCTGCGGCTCCAGCGAGCCGGCCTTCCAGCTGCTGCGCGGCGACGGCCAGGTCGGCCTGTGCGAGAGCGGCGCCTACTGCCACTGCAGCGCGCAGAAGGTGCTCAAGTGCATGCAGCTGTTCGGCGTGGCCTGGCGCCTCAACGAGCAGGCGCAGCAGTGTCAGACGGCCTTCGACTGCACCGACTTCTTCGCCCACGAGACGACCTCCAGCGCCGCACCGGCCACCTCCAGCGACGCGACCACGGAGCCGGCCTCGACCACCTCGGGCAGCACCGCGGCGCCGGCGTCGGAGTGCGGCTGCGCCGCGGACGGCAGCCCGTACCAACTGGTGCGCGGCGAGGGCCAGGCCAGCTCGTGCACGCACGGGTACTACTGCGACTGCAGCCGCGGCAAGCGGCAGCGCTGCCTCAACGTGCTAACTCTGGGGTGGAGGTTCGACGAGGACGCCCAGAAGTGCAGGCTGTTCCACGGCTGCGGCGCTGTCTCCGACTAGCCCGCCTTCACCGGCAGGCCGCGTCCTGGGCCACGTGAGAGGGCCGTGACTGCGTACCAATAAAATACTGAGATGGAAGTTTGCCCTGTGATTTTGAAACCGATTGACGACACTCGAAACAAACTCACACACCCACAAACTCACACAAAGGCGTATTGCCGATAAAAAGATAAGTGGGGTTGATTGGCCACGGAGTCAGGGACTCCAACCTGCCAAGCAAGAGCAAGTGGTGGCACCTGTCGGACTGTGCGTCAGTACAAAGGTGAGCGGGAAAAATGGATGGGGTGATTCAGTGACGCGGGGTGACGCGCAGTGACGCAACGTGACGACGCTTTGCATAGAGTGACGTCAATGGCGGGGATTAAGTTCTCGGTGGTGAAAACTCTTTCGAGGAAAATGAAAATCAACGACAAAAATGCGTGGTCGATATTTCTGGCGTCATCCCGGGCAGGATGTTTGGAAAGGGTGGTGAGTCGATGATGACTCGGTGGCCAACGAATCCCAGAGTCGAGGAGTGACCCGCCAACGGCGCTGCTACCTACCCATTATACCATTACCACTAAGGGCTAGACCAGACATGATCGTATGCCCCTTTGGCGTTGCCAGCTCTTTGTCATCATCATCCCACATGCACACTTTTACCTCTCGCCAATCACGGCTTTGCTCTCTGGCTACAGCCAATTAGCCCCCGTCGCGAATTGGCCGGGCTAATCCTTGAGGAAAATGCGCGTTTATCGCCTCGCAACAGTGGCGCCGTCCGCGCGTCCAAGTGACCATCAACGGCGTCAGGCCGTCAGCGCGATAAGCTATCGTGGCGGAGGTGCGGCGCGCTCTCATAGACCAGCTCGGCGCCCGGATCGGCCAGTGTGCCCTGAACCCCCCACGGCAGAGGACCTCCGAGTACTTTCGTGTACCCGAAAACCGCCACCCGCCACCATGAGGATCACTGGAGCAGCTGGTGAGTGGGCCTCCGACTTTCTTATCACGGGAAGCAAGCGCGGCGAATGGAGCATTCTTCGTCATTTTAATTTACATACTTTGTAAAAATACGATCGTATTTTTGAGCATTGTTCTTTTAGTATGTTCTTTCATTCTGTTTGACCTAAAAGTTTATTTTAGTTTTTTTTTTAAAATATCAAGGCTGGTCTATTGTTTTTACCTCAGTCAAGTTCGATCAAGTGTGCGCGGCTGATCCTCGGGGCTGAGAGGCGGTTGCCATGACAACCTCAGTGCAGCCGTGCAGCCACGTGGCTAGGCCTCGCGGCTTCGCTCGGCATCTCGACTTCCCACCTGACGGCATTCCCTCCCTGTCCACAGCGTCGCTGGCCGTGCTGTGCGCCCTGGCCGCCACCGTGCAGGCCAAGTCCGCGGGCCAGAGAACCGCCCCGTTCGCCCTCAAGGACGACGCTGACGTCTACTGCGCCAGCTGCAAGGACGGCCAAAGCCCAGACAACCGGCCCATCCGCGGCTCCAACGAAGTGAAACTCTGCGAAGACGGCTACTACTGCAACTGCAAAGAAGGCACGAAGGTCCAGTGTGCCGGCGCATTCGGGATCCACGGGAAGTTTAACCCAGACAACCCCGACGCGTTGACGTGCAGCATGACCCACAACTGCCAGAAATGGTTTGACGAGCACCCGGACCCGGTCACCACGGCATCACCCGGCACACCTGCCACCCCGGCCACCCCGGCCACCCCAGCTACCCCAGCCACCCCAGCCACCCCAGCCACCCCAGCCACCCCAGCCACCCCAGCTACCCCAGCTACCCCGGCCACCCCAGCCACCCCGGCCACCCCAGCCACCCCAGCTACCCCGGCCACCCCAGCCACCCCGGCCACCCCAGCCACCCCGGCCACCCCAGCCACCCCTGCTACCCCTGCTACCGCGGCCTCCACATCCGGCACACCCGCCACGGCAAAACCCACAACACCCGTCACCACCAAAGCCCCAGCACCCAACACAACCAAAGCCCCAGCACCCAACACCACCAAAGCCCCAGCACCCAACACCACCAAAGCCCCAGCACCCAACACCACCCCCCGAAACCCACAAACAGCACCAACCGTGAAGCCCACGCCCAAGGCCAACGGGGCATCGTGGGGTCAGAGGAGCACCGTCGGACTGCTGCTGCTGGGAGTGGTCGTGTCTGTGCTTTAAACTGTGAGACTGAGCCTAGCTTGTTATTTCGCATTGACTGGAAGAAATTGTGAAAACTGGGGGGTGGCGGCGTCGGCGTTTCGGTGAAGTGACCTAGTTGAGCCGAGGGCCGTCGCGTGGCTTCTCGACCGCCATAAAGTGATATTTGTACTGTTAACTTAGGATAAGTCTTAAAATTAAATATCTTTGAAAACCCAATGTATTGTTTGCTGTCTCCTTGATCCTCGGATTTTTATGGGGTGAGTGGTCGGGCTTTGCAGTTGGTACGGCAAACTAGGCTAGCCGAAGGACTGACCCATCCTGCCGCGGGGCGAGTGCATCTGGGCCTGGCCACGGCTCTGGACGACGGCAGCGGCGACGGCCAGCATCCCGAACGAGATGGCCACCACCGTGGCGACGAACAGGGCGTAGAACACCAGCACGGCGCCTTTGGGGGGTTGGCTTAGGTTAGGTTTCTGCTCTCCTGTGGTGGGAGTCTTGGGCTCAACGCACCCACCCCAAGTTTTCCAGGACGTGTTGCAGACCGCGTGCAAGTAGCCCGGGTGGCCCTCCGGTCTACTGGCAGCGTCCATTGCCTGCTTTCTTGGGTCTCCGTGGCCTGGCCTTCCCGGAGCCGGAGCCTTCTGTTGCCTGGCAGCCTTGGGCAACAATGGAAAATTACCCCCTTCCATAATGTAGGGGGCACAAAAAATAAGGTGCAGTGCTTATCTGCTTATCGTGTGTAGAAAAAAGTAGGCGGCGTTTCAAAATTTATAACACATTTTTTTATTTTTTGTATAACAGCAACAATGGCATCTCCAAGAGAAGTCAAGATATAAAGAAATATCAAAACAACAAAGGGAAGTGCAAGTAGGAAAATTATGAAAATAGAAAGCTAGCATTTTGGTATCTCATCATTTGAAAGACAACAAAGAGAAGTGCAAGTAGAAATATTATGAAAATAGAAAGCTAGCATTTTAGTATCTGATCATTTGAAAAAAAAAAGATCTCTGTCAGGGCAGAAAACAACCTAAGTAAGTTATATATCAATAACCAAGGCATCACCCAACCAAGTCTCCTGCAAAATAACTAGATAAAGGCACTCAAGAGGCTCAACAAACAAGGCGCAGTAGTTGGAATGATAAGATTCCATCTCTCTCCCTCTCTCTCTACATCAACATAAGAGATATTAATGCCTGCCCTAACTACATAAAAACCCATAGGTTTGTTACATATAAAAGCTGTCATGCACAAAAACATGGATATTAAAGCAAACCAAATCTAGGCAATCTTTGGTATTTGTCAAATTAACATAAAAATTCGTAAACAGTCAAGGAGAGAATACGCAATAGACATATCCTCCAATAAATACACTTTGATTCCAAAAGTAATAGAAAGAGATTCTTTTTCAAAGTATCAGTCAAAGTATATAAACTTGTAAAATCCTTGCATCACAAAAATCTTTGATATACAAGCAGACAAAAGTCTAAAACAAGAAAACTCATAACTGCTCTCATACACATAATTAAAATATTGATAAATATGTTATAAACACAACCTTGTTCTACACAGCAGAAAACACGACTATGTCAGTGAGAGCCAGTACAGAAATTTGCTTTAAAAGAGGAAGAGCTAGTGCAGAAATTGGACTCTAGATAAAACCATTTTTAAAATGATAACTCTTATTGCTGATAATTTCACATTCTTCTGTGAAATAAGCAAACATTCACACTAAAAGCCTGCTTTTCTGGCAGGTATGGGCACAATCACTATGATCAAAACATTTGTATTATCTGCAAGGGCTACTAGATAAAATGAGCAATAAATGTCAATTATACCCTGTCCACATGATATTGAACAAGAAAATTAATTAACCGTCGGCAAACACTATTTGGTCTCACACTGAGCTGCAGTTTTCACCACTGCCAATCATAGCCTTTTGTTGTAAAAGCAAAAGACAGCGTTCTTCAAGGCTTTGAATGGAAGCCAGCAGGTGTGCATTCTCCACATACAACTCTTTTACCAGAACATCGGATTTTGTCAACCGACTCATCTGCAAGACAAAATGAAGAGGAGTTAAGAGGAGGGCTCCAGGATGAATCAAACCTGTCATATGGAACGTGTCTCCTATTTAAAACATACCTGATCTCTGCAAATGTCCCCCTGCTGCTCTAATTTATCCTGAGTGCATTGCAATAAAAATTGAATATCTGCCATTTCTTGCTTGTGGCGATCCCAAGTATCTACAAGACAGACAATAATTTTTGTAAATTTTCTCCTTAATTAAGAGAACAGACTATGTATTTATCCTCAAAAAGTATGCATGTGGGTACTAACGCTGCAGTAGTGCCTGAGTTTGCTGCTGCTGTCCTCGAAGAGCTCGTTGTAGTCTTACACAAGTTTGCTCCTGCTCACGCAAACGTAGCCCCACAGCTTGCAGTTCATCCTCAGGATTCTAAAAATAAATTTTATATGGAAAAAAATAGAAAAATACTATAAACTTGATGTAAGAAGTTAGATGTGTAGGAATCAAAAGGATGCCTACAAAAATTTATAGAACATGTTAAGCACTCACCAAACAGTTTAAAGCAATATAGGGTGGATGGTGCCTCATTCTGCGGTGGCGTCCATGGGGCTGATGGTTTCGATTGCGTCTTGCATCCTCCTCACTGCAACCAGACGAGTCACTGGATGACAGTGAGGATGCTGTTGATGACAGCACATTGTCTGTTGTGTTACCATTCAGAACAGACATCACAGGAGCATCCTGAAGCATTTCAAGTAAAAGGTGAGCATGGAGAAACAAGAATCTGCAATTTAGGAGAACACTATTTTCTACTAATACCTTTTCAACAACACGAGGTTTGACAATGAATGTTCGGTCACTACCCCAACTTCTAGTCTCTAGATCAGAAACTTGAACTGCTATTTCTGAACTACAAACTGCAAAATGGGGTACAAAAGGAAAGATATCAATAAGAAGAAATAAATGACAAATGAAATAATAATAAATACATAAATCTCACCAGTTTGAGGCAAGTGGCAGAGCTGTAACTGATGCAGCTGGTCCCTCAGTTTCTGTAACTCAATTTCCTTCTCCACCAACTTAGTCTCCCCTTGGCAGCGGACTTCCTCAAGTTCTTCTTCAAGCAGAGTTACCTATCAAAGAGAGAATCCTCAAATTACAAAAGATCTGTAGCATGTTTCTAAGATGATAAATTGAGAGTCAAAGTATTTGCCCACCTGCTTTTCTAAACCATCTTGTTCCTCAATAGTCTCCAGCCGCCCATCCATAGATTTGTTTGTCCTGCGCATGTGGTCATCCGCAAAGAGGTCCTCATATTCTCTGATTTTAGACATTAATTCTGAGAACTTCTCATCAGTAATCTGTTGCTCTTGCTCTGCGAGTTGCCTTTCCTCGTCTAATTTGCCTGCCCAATAGTCTTCACAACGTTCGTACTCATCCCGCATCATTGACAGACTCTTTTCAAGATCACTGCAACGGCTTCTTAATGTTGTGATTTCCAGTTCTTTTACTTGCAAAAGTGCAGCATTTTTACTGCACTCCTCCATGAGGCCAGTGCAATAGCTCACATCCTCATTATTGGTGCCAACACATTGGTCTACTTTGGTGGATTTGTGGCTTTCATCAAAGGACGAGTGCACTTCAGTTACAGTACATGAAGAGCTAAGATCTACTTCAGAGAGACCAGCTGCAGAAGGATGTGTTTCACAGCCAGCAGCTGGTAACTGATTACTAAGATCAAAGACCCTCTTCTTCAATACACAATTTTCTTCAGAGCAAGCTCGTTTTTCAGAAAGTATCTTCACAATTTCAACCTTAACATTATCCAGCTGTGTTTCCAAAACTCTACAGTGTTGCTGGAGCTGTTCAACTGCTGGGTTATCGACAGATGGAGCTTCTACACCAGGTAATGAGGCTGTGGCTTGGAACTGAGATAAACCTTCATCACAGGTAGGAGTATGCACTTTCAAACTAGTCGTTGGAGTTTCCTGCATAAATTAGATTGTTGCATGTGAGGTTTAAAGAAAAATTACACAGCCTAAATTGATTCAATAGCCAGTGAAACATTACCTCATGTCTTAAATACAACAGAGAATCAGCCTCTATCTCCTTTAAAGTTTGTAAGTCAGAATGCTTTGTGCCTAGGCTACCCTGTAACAAGAACGAAACAAAAGGGGAATGAATGAACTAGCACTTAAAAGACAGGGAACAAAAAATTTCTTACTATCCCCTAGTATTGATGACTGGTAAAACGGAAATACACACAAACAAAAGCAAAAGAAGCAGAAATACTAGAATGAATAACAAACGAAAACAAATAAATAAGTTTTTAGAGCATTTGCAACAATGGCGAACGAGCATAAACCTTATTTCATGATTGAGCAATTTATGAACAAACCTGAACATGTTGGAAGTAAGCCCTCTTCAAAAACTTTAAAAACTTACTGGATTTAAATTTCTTATTCATAATTTGGATAAATAAGAACTTTTTTCTACAGTAAACTCAAGTTTCTCGGATAAGCAAGTTAAAAAATTATCACTTTGCGGCAGCACAGGAACATCTCATAATCACAATATTTTTTTTTGTATTTAATTTGTATTACGTCACCATCACAAGCTACTTCTAAATATTTTGCCTCCCTCAACTCTGTGCTAGTTAAGCCTGTGCAGCTGAGGACCATCCTCTGCACTCTTAGGTTTGTTGGCACACCTGCCAATTCTAAAAATAGAACTTGACTTTGGACTGCAAGTTAACCAACTGCTTTTTCCCCAAACAAACTGGATATTGCAAACAAAATACACCATCAATAGTTGTGCATCAATATACACATACAATTAAAAACATCAGTGGAGAAAAGTGGAAAAAATTTGAGATTGCTTACCTAGTTTATCATTACCACCAGGATTGGCAATAGAATACTCAGGGATACATGCATGTCTATGTATAGGTGTGTGGTTTGGAAAATGAAAATATATTCATGGGTGATTAATGTAGATGTAATGAAAGAGATGGAATATCAGTAGTGAAGTGAGATTTACACCACACCAGCCAAAAAAGGGAAAAAAGCAATGTACCATTTTCATATTCTACTCCAATCAAAACAGAAGGTGAATTCACAGTAATTTAAAAAGGAAGTATAAATAACAATGAGCATACAATTCCAACTCCTTCAATTTTAGAAAATAACTGCTACTGTAATGCAACTGAATAATATTTATTAAGGTGTGTGTCTACTAGCTGTACACAAAAATACACAGGCAAACTATTTCAAGGTAAAGAGCCATGCATGCAAAAATGCATAAAAGTTTGAAAAGAAAAAACGCTACAATAACAAGTTTTATGGTAGAAACTATAAACGTCATGGAAACTTAATAAAATTAATACTAGATCACAGAGTAAAAATTACCATACACCTACAACATAAATGCATTCATTAACACTACTGTCTACCTTTACACAACATTGTATGGCATTTACAGGTAGCAAGAGTAGAAACATGCTAAAACAGTAGAAACAATACATCCAAAGTGAGAAACTGACAGTAAGATACAGTATATTTCTGTTCTTAATTAATGTTCTTAAACATATTACATTTAAAAAGAAATACTGAATACAGGCAAGATGTATAATCATCAGTAAAAAAAAAGATCATTAAGGCAAAATATGACAGGAATTAATATTACTAATGTCACATCAAAAGAATATCAGTCAGTGAAAATGCATGCAGTAATACATCACAAATCAGTAAATCACAGATATAAGTGGGCAGAGAGGAACTTTTTAATGAGGAATAGTAAAATAATTATTTGTTTTAGTGATACTTTGTGACTGTCTTTTGGTCTCAAAACAACCTTTGAAAATAATTTTAAGTCTTATTATAAAGCCATACAGTACAGGTATACAGTGAAGGCACTTAAAATTCAGGTAACTTTCAAATAACTATGGTGCTTTAGAGTCATCAACATCAATGTGCAATCTTATTAGGTATGTTAGATTTTATTAACGTAAGTCATAATGTCTCAACTGCTAGATAATGATGAAGGGAACCTTCTACAAAAGTAACAAACACATGCAAAAAAAAAAAAAAAGGCTTTCCTTTAAGGTAAACCTCACTACTAGTATATTTCTAATTCGCAATGAACTATGGAAGCTCTACAGGATAAATCTTCATGCAAATCTAAAACAACACACTCTGCCCGATCTTTAAGTAGAACTTACCACAGAACTGCTGGTCTGAAGGTGGAGGGCTCTCTCCAGTTCCTTGATGCGCGCTTGCAGGCGTACTATGTGGACCTCATCAGCCCCCTTGGCCAAATGAATTAGGTCATCCTGACTGCCTGCCAGGCTGGAACTTTCACTTTTCAGATTGAGCCACTGATCTGTCTCCAGATGAATATTTCCTGGAAGCTGTTTGAAAGTGATGAGTAACAATGAGAAGTCCACAGAAATATTGGCACAAAGACTCCAAAACCACAGGTGCAGACACTTACATTATCAATGGCACTGCCAAAGTGATTTCCAGGGCCATCCAAGTCTAGGTCAGCTTCAATGCCAGGTTCACTTGGTGCAAGAGGATGAATTTGAAGACCTGAAATTTCAATTTACATTGTTCAGATTAGTGTCAAAGACCTTTACCATTGTAAATTGAACAGGTTGTCAGCGTTTTACCTTCAATATGGACATTGTCGAGGGAAATCTCTACTTTCTGAGAAAACCTCCGAACTTTTCCTACTCTTGGGCTCTCCTCATCCCCGCTGTCATCAGCCGGAGCTACAGCAAGTGGAGAGTTTCCTCTTCGCTTGGTCCCACCAGAGAGATTACCATCAACAGGTGTTGGTGCTTGTCTCCTTACTCTGACATTAGAGAGGCGAGTTGTCAGGCTTTCAAGCTCCACAGTAAGCTCATCATTTCTGTCCCTCAAACTTGAGTTTTCTGATCTCAGTTTACTTATTTGTTCACACAAGTGTTCTACACGATCTTCATCTTGGTTTGCTTGCAGTTCATTCAGCCGCTGTTGTAAGTGTTCAATCTCTTGCAGCTCTTTACCCATTTGTAATTTGGCTTCTTCACATTCAGCGACTCGCTCAGCAAGACTTCGTGATTCCTGATCTAATGCTTCATTTTCTTGCCGCAATGACGCTGCTTCAGAAGACAGTCTCGATTCTGACTGTTGCAAAACTGTGACTTTGTGCTCAAGACGGTTGATTTGTTGTGCTAGCTGCTCTCGCTCGAGACTGAATCTTGCAGTGAGATCACGAATAACTTCTGAATGCTTCTGTTCCAACAACTTGAATTGATTCTGACTAACTTTTTCTAGCTTTGAATGGTGGTCATCAATTTCCTGTGCCAACAAGCTTGCCCGGAAATTTGCTTCTGCTAAATCATTCCTTAGTTTATCTCTTTCACAAGACATTTGCTCCAATGAGGAACGAATCCACCTCACTTCTGCTTGCCTCAAAGTTAGAGCAGCCAGTAATAAGTTATTGGCAAATAGACCAGATCCTTGGTTCAAAGGCAGTGCTGAGTCATCAGACACTGCATTGGACTTTCCTTGCCTCGCAACTTCCTCCTCAATGGCACAAGCAACAGAGGCCACATTCAGAGATCTTAGAGAGTCATCCAGATTCAAATCTCGAAGTAAAAGAGATGGGTTTGATACACCAACACTCTCCCACATTTCAGTTATTGCATCAGCACTGGCCATTCTGATTAAAAGAGACAACAAAGCATAAGACAGAGAAGGAACAAAAATTAAGCAATGAGTTTGAAACCCTTACCCTGCACCATTGAGTTCGGTAAGACTCAAGCTGGCACCACCACTTAGCGAACTTGACCCAAGAACCCAAGTTCCTTGAGGCGAAGATTGAGTCATTGTTGTGCAAGGCATACCAGATCGAAATAAGAGAAGAAAGTCATCCAGGCTGACTTTACCATCTCTATCAGAGTCAAGTTGTTCAAAAAGTTGCTGGAGTGCCTAAAACATAGCACAGAAATAATAATATTTTTCATTTCAAGATTAGATTGATAACGGAAACAGTTTTCAGATTTTCTCACCTCACTAGAAAATTTCTCAATACCAATGCACTGACAAACTTGCCCAAGTTCTAATTGACTCACAAAGCCATTCTTGCCGTATTGTTGCCAAGCTACCTTCAAACAGTCTTCCGCTTGGCTGAGACTACCTTGTAAGTTGGTTGAACTGAAGCCATGCAGTGATGCACTCTGGGAGTCTGAAAATAACAATAGTCTTGAGACACAACATCATCAAGAGTGGAAAAGTTGAAACAAAAGAAGAATACAATAAGGAATTTTGGTTTGTGTCAGGCACAGAAAATAAGAAAAAACCTTTAGGATAGTTGGCAAGGTTTTCAGCAGTGCGCCTCTTCTTTACATTACTGACTATATCTTGATCTTCACCTTCATCTTCTGTGCTTGTTGTAGCGGTTGAGTTATTCTGATATTGAAGAAAGGGACAGGCATAAAAACATGGTCGATAAAATGATAAGATAAATAAAATTAGCATGCTTCCAACCTTTTCTGCATTAGCAGCTCTAAGAGGATCCGATTCCAATGGATCAAACTCAAGTTCTGAACTTTCAGGGCGAGACCGTCTACCATATTTCTTCTGACCAAGCACCAGTTTTGGAGAAACTTCCCGTTCTGCAACAAAGAAGTTTTTTAAAAGCTGAGAAACATAGCACAAACATATGCAAGATTCTAAATGATAATACTACCTGGGGATTCCTCTCTTTCAGTCGGTGTCTCTTTATCATTTACTTTTTCTGATGTTCCATGCACAGCAGGTGAACTTCTTTCCCCACCCAGAAGTGTAAGTAGACCACTCCAGAATTGGGTAAAACTGATACGAGACAGGTCATCGGGTAGGAGAGCACTTATGAGGTCCGCAGATTGAGACTGATCTAAGGGCAACTGCTCACACAGCTGCTGAAGACCTCTGTGGTTGAGACTTCCCAAATTGTCACTATCGAAGCTTTCAAACAATGCTCGGAGCTGGTGCTCATATGGGTCAGCTTCCGACATATCCATATCATTGCTCTATTTTCACCGGTTTCTGGTCCGGTGGCCTGTAACAAACCGCGATTTTAATACAGTATTTGTGCCCAGGCACACAGTTGGATCCATGGTTAGCACAGCTGCTACAAAAAGTACAAACATAGACGTGACCAGAAATGCCCCGAAAACTACTGCATGTATAACGCAAAGGGTTCGTCAAATGTAGTGTTGAGGAGGCCTCGGGCAAATATAGACGATAGTTAAATTGAACCGTGAGGCTTTCCATGCGTGAAAACACGAAACGGTAAATGGTGCCTAAGCCTTGGACAAGTTGACATTACCTGGAGAGGGTCTTCATTCAGATCTCAGCAAGCATTGCCGCGGTTAGACGCAATATAGTGTCATGCAAAAATCTCATGGGATAAAGAAAATCATGTTTGACGAAGACTGTCACTTTCAAGAGCAAGGCAGACGAGGAATTCTGCAAATAAATACAAAAAGAATAACATAAACACAAACACAGTGACAGCACGACACGCATGTTCTGTTGACACTCGTGTCCCGCTAGACGAAAAATTCTTCCGCGAGGGAACAAAAATGTCTTTCCGTAGGTAAGACGTGTATGAGGGTGCGACCATTTGCACTATTTATGCCTTATTTCGGTATTATCTTTGAAATAAAACCAGGGATCAAAACGAAAACTAATACATTTCCAAGAGGTCGGAGGGAAATGATAATTGAGTAGGGTTGGCTCAGCTGTAGCGTAGCCATATTGTTTTTCGGCGTTATCTTTGAAGCAGAAAGGTGGTGGTTGAAAACATTACTGTAAGTGACAAAAAAATCAATATTTACCAGTGTCAGCTCAGTTTCATTCGAAATATGTTGATTCAAGTCTGTATTTTAGCCTTAAGAGTTGTTTTAAGTCACAGCTCCCCATTTGACACGTTTTCTTGACCATTTTTATCCAGGTATCTTAACTATGAGGGAGCAGATAACCTCGAAAAACTATGGTCAATTCTTCAAGAGTTCCTAATGCCTTGTGTTGTTGTGAGTACATTGACAAAGATGGGAGAAGAAATCACATTCTTGCATGCTGCTGCAACTGCGTGGAACTAGACAAGGCATTTGACAGGTAAAGGCTTTGAAAAATGGTAGGTCTCATCAGCCGTAAAATATTTTCTCACTTTGTATTCCATTTCTTCCTCCCCAGTTTTTGCTGCTGCAGAAGAGGAGGCCATCCCGGCTGTGATCGTGTCATTCTCGCCATGTTGGACAGGATGCGCGTGCCATGGCTCGGGGGTGCAAAGCTCATCTCTTGTGATATTCTCTTGCCGATGTTACTGTTGCCAAGTTTATTTGCATTTGGAGCTATTAACTTCCCTTGCACCGTTGTTGCATTTTTATCAATGCTGCTTCTTGTTCTTCAGCTTCATCGAACATATTTTCGTTCAATTCCTAATTCAAAATTCTTTTGCACATGGACATACACCTCCTTTGCATTGATTTTTTTAATATATGAATTTTTGGTTGTTCCCTTTTTGGAAATAACCATTCAGGAAAATTTGATATTTATTGTGGTGTCAATTATGTCCATTCTTAGCCTTTATAAAGTTCAAACATTGAGAAATTCTCAAGCCAGTTTTTTGAATGATGTTGAGAAGGGAGATTCAAGTCTATTGAATTCTAAGGCCAGTAATACTTGTAGTGTATGCACAACATACATGACACCCAGAATGGTTCATTGTAGTACATGCCAGAAATGTGTTCCAAAGCGTGAGCTGCATTGTTTGTGGTAAGTTTCCTTTGCTCAAGAATCCTAAGATCAAATTCTGAAAAATAGACTGTTGGCATAACACATATACCTGTGGTTAAATTTGTTTACAGGTTTGGATGTTGTATTGGCTCACACAATTTATTCTGGTTCATAATTTGTCTAGTCTCACTTTCTGTAAGTTTACTGTACAGTTCTAATTTGATCTTGACTACTGTGTGTCGGCCATATCAAGTTGTGGGCTCACTTCTCCTTCCGGAGGACTGCAGTGAAGTGTATTATGAATTTAGGTAAGCAACTGAAAGCAGATTTCGCTGTTCGAAATTTTACATCCGTTTCCCTTCCCTGCCAACCAATTGTTTCTGTTTGCAGGTTTGCTCTGTGCTTTGTCAGTGGACTGTACTCGTTAATGATGTCTGTTTTATCTGTGTTCGCTCTTCTCCGCCAGTGCTGGCTTGTGTCACTTGGGATCACAGGTAACGAGTGGCGCACAATGCCCCTCTCTCATCTCTTACGTTTTGGAATTACTGCGCATCGTCCGTACAGTCATGGCCTTCTCAAGAACTGGTATTATGTACTTACTCGTCAAAATGTTTATAGCAAATAGTTATGTTGAACTTAAAATTAAGAAGTATTCAATGGCTGATTTCAAATAGCTGCATTTATTTAAATTTGTCAGATTTTCTTATGATTACTGTTTAACACTAAATTTTCTGAAATGTTGTGTGCACTATTTTTTATGCACTTTACATCATTTCAAAACAGTTGGGGCAGCAGGGAATAAGTGTGTTCATAGGGTCAGTGCCTTGAACTCATGAAAATCATTTTTGGCTTGAATGCAAACATTTAATGTTAATGTTCCTTTTCTTTGCTCTGCTCAGTATTGCTCTGTCCGTTTTGCATTATCGTTATGTAATTTGTAAAGTTTTTATGAGTGTCGTTCTTCTGAAGAACCTGTGTTTTTTGCAACTTAAGGGTGCTTTGGCTGTAAGTTCTTTTGTACCTTTTTCTTAGACTGCAATAGTCTTGGAAGTGTATAATTATTATCTCTTACTCACTAGTTCGTTCTGTGATGTTTATCTTTCTTGTTCTTGGTTTCTTGTGAAAAGTGTGTCTGTGGTGCTTGTGATGATTGACGCTCTGGTTATATTTAAGTCGTGAGTATTTGGTATTGGTTTGGTTCGTCCCGCTCGTGCGAGCGCCCGACGAGTAGGCAACTCTTTCGACACGGCTGTTGGCAGGCTTTGGCAGTCACCGCTCAAAATTTTTTGTGAATCTTAACAAAGGAATTCAAAGGCAGCGTTTTTAAATAAGTTGTTTATTGTCAATCTTCTTCTAGTCTTACAATTTTATACAATGTTTCAGCTAAATGTACTTAAATAAAACAAGTTTTCTTGTCAAGAATGATAATTACCATGGACGCGTTGTTTATTTTTAACACAACTGAAGTACTATTTGACCAAACAATTGAGAAAATGACAATTAAAAATTGGGCTGCAAAGCAGCAAGGAAATATAATGATGAAAGATGGGGTACTGTATAGGGAGGGCCACCTGCAGCCACCGCCAGAGGCAGGGTTCAGTTTTCCCTTCCTTTGAACTCCAGCCGGTGGGTCGAGCCTGGATATCCGACGCAGGAAGCGAACCGCTTGCTTGTGGCCTCCAGCGCCTGCGAGGTAGGCCGTGGGCCCAGCCCGAGCACACCGCTGTGGAGACGATGGCCTACCTCGCCCCTGTGAGATGACAGGCGTGGGGTAGGCCACCGTCTGCGCGCCGGTGTGCTCGGGCTGGGCCCATGGCCTACCTCGCAGGCGCTATACGGGCTGAAGATCTGCAACACCTTAACGGTGAAGCCGCGCTGCTAAACGCCCCGAGATACGCGATCCTGTTATTGGCTTGGGTCGCCCCGGGAAGGTCTTGTAACGGCTCGTAAACGCCGTGTGAAAATGAAAAAACGGATTCACGGATTTTGCTGCCTCCTGTAAAGGTGCTGATGGCCGGTGACATTCTGGCTCCGCAGAGAGAGAGAGAGAGAGAGAGAGAGAGAGAGAGAGAGAGAGAGAGAGAGAGAGAGAGAGAGAGAGAGAAAGGGGAGGCGAGGGGAGAGTCGTCGGAGTCGTCTTTGGGGCATCTGCGCCGTCCGGACACCGGCGACCGCCCGAACGCCCGAAGCCACAAGATATTCTAAATAAACAAAACATAAACAACTGTCCAATGTTCCCTGTTTTTGCTCTTCGACTCTCGGCGATCGATCGATTTATTTTCCTCCAGATTTCTTCCCGCCCTTGGGCAAAAGGCAAAAGGAGGAGCCCGCTGCTGGCTGTTACTTTCGGTGAGCGGCGCAGGCGGTGCAGGCGGCGCAACCAGGCCGGCCTGGGTCGGCGACGTGGTCGGCGACGGCGATTGGAAACCTCAGCCGTTTGCAGAAAATGACCAATCCCGCCGGTATTTTGCAGCGCCTGCCTCATTTACTTGCTTTTGTTTTCGGATCGCCGATTTATACACATTTGCGTGATTGCTGAAGCGCGAATCGGGCGGCATCGGCGAGACGACGGCTTTGCCTGTCATTGCCTAGTGGCTCTGTCTCTCTCACCTGTGTGAGGCGCCCCCCGAGTGCGAGAGAGACACCGCTGTTCGGATTCAGCCTGCCGCAGGGAGGGTCGCCGCCGTGGTCGCCGCATCGCCCGCTCGCACTGCGGAATATAGAAACGTATTAAAGATAGTCGGTACAGTATTTGTTGTCCTGGCGTGGCGTGGCGGTGGCGTTTGTGTGCGTTAAGACCGCACGGCAGCGCGGGCAGCGCGGCGGGGCAGCCTCCATACATCACCTGGACAAGCAGCCCTGGCTGCTACCGCCCCGCCCCGCCCTGCGCAGCCCTGCGCCGGCCCCAGCCGTATGGTAATGAGCGATTCCAGGAACCGCGCCACTGGCTCGGGGCCCCGGGCTGTGCCGGGCTGTGCCGGCGGCGGGGCCTGTGGCAGGCCCTGAAGGCCCTGCGGACGCACCGCCGCGCCGCGCCACGCCACGCCGTGCGCGAGGGCCGCCGCCGGGGCGCCGCGACGCCGCGACGCGTCCGACGACTGCGGCTCTGCGGCCCTCGGCGGCCCCACACTACAAGCCGCACCGCGCGGCGCATGCGCGGCCGCATTCCCATTCGTTTCAAAATTGGCGCCAAATTGGAGCTCCAGCGACTGCGAGCGGAGGCAGCGCCGCCGAGGATGACCCTTCGGACATTGCCGCGCACTGGACCAGAAGACCGGTGGAGGCGGCCAAAATCTAGACGCGTTTTGAGCTCCAGAGTTGCTAAATGGGACTCGAACCGATCATGTGACCCCACCAATGGATTCCTCGTTCGGAAAGCTATCCATTGGTGGGGTCACACGTTCAGTACGAATCCTGTTTAGCGACTCTGGGGCTCAAAACGCGTCTAGAGTTTTGGCCGCCTCCACCGGTCTTCTGGTCCACTGTGCGCGTCGTGGACCCCAACTTGACATGCAGCGCCCACGGCGCATCCCGCGGCGAGCCCCCGGCACATTCCGCGACATCTCGCCACGGCCGAGGTAGCCGAATTCCTGAAATAACCCGTCGTACGATCGAATGCATAAATTAGTCGCGAGCCGCCAAAACAGAGGCAGGCCGGGGCAGGCCAATGACGAGGAGCCGCTAGAGCGAGATAGAGATAGGGAGGGACGCACGGCCCGCATGGCCGGGGTGCAGGAAGCAGGAAGAGGGAGAGAGAGGGAGGGAGGCCGCGGAGCAGAGCAAGACAAACGACGACAGGCTCGGACATACCGATAAAGTCCCAGACAGGCAAAAACGCCGTCCGCCTGGTGCGCGCGGTGCGGTGCGGCGGTCCCCGGCGGTCCCCGGCGGTCCCCGGCGGTCCCGACGGCTCCCGGCCGGGCCCCTCCGAGGGGCGGCAGTGAGGCCAGGCCAGGCCGCGCATCGATGTAAGGACCAAAGAGGCCGAACCGATCGCAGAAATGCGGAGCCACGGCCGAGCCACGGCGGAGCCGAACGGCAGATGGAAAAATAAAACTGTCGGGGGCAGGCTGCCTCCACGTCGCCACCGAAAAACCTCCGGGCCCCGATCCGGCCGGGGAGATATGACGTAATGATTGCCAGTGTAGGCACCGCCAGGTAGCCGCATTGTCGTGGCCCGGGTCAAGAAACGACACTAACGAGACGGAGCTCCCCGTCGAGGAGGCCGAGGCCGCCGCGGAGGTAGGCCACCCTCCCGGCACCCTCGCCACCGTGGTGCCTACTGCGTGGGCTGCGAGCACTCCAACTTGAGCTTGCCGTGACGTGTGAAGAGGGCCAGGGACCTTGCTGGACTTCAGTTGGAGGCGGCAAAAATTCTGGACGCGTTTTGAGCTCCAGATTCACTACGTGGGACTCAAATCGAGCGTGTGACCTTACCAATGGATTCCTCATTCGGAGAGCACTACTTCATTTGTGGGGTCATACGTTTGGTTCGAGCCCTATTTAGTGACTCTGGAGTGCAAAACGCGTCTTGAATTTTGACCGCCTCCACCGGTCTTCTGGCCCACTGTGCGTCATACCACGTGGCGGCGTTCGGCCGACGTCGGGAGTCGAACCCGGGGTCACGTCCGTCAGCGGACAGCCCGGCTGTACGGGTCCTGCTTCGCCTCGTTTCGATCTCCTACTCCCCCCTCCCCCTCCACCGCAGCACGGTCCTACTCCGTCGTCCAAAAACGCTTTTTCGGACGGAACGCAGTTTTCGTTTTGTGCAATGCCGTCGCTTGGTTCCTGCGAAGCTGCTCCATAATGCATGCCACGCTCTGCGACGCTGCGGACTGAGAGTCGTTTTCGGCGCTCTGTCTCTCTCGCACTCATGGGGCGCATCGTATGGGTGCGAGAGGGACAGTGCGACGCAAATGACTCTCGGAATCAGTTTGCTGCGACGCTGCGACAGTGCGACGCTCCGGGCGTGTTCGAGGAGACATCGGCCAGGACTGACCGGGACGCCCGGCAGTCGGCGGACTCGAACGCACCCCCAAGCGGAGCGCCCCCTTCCCCTTTCCCCTCAATTCGCCGCGCCAATCTCTTCTTCTCGTTCAAATCCTCTGACGTGACCTAACCTCTCCTAGCCTAACCTAATAAAACCAAGCCTAAAACACGACCTTTTAGTAAGCGACGATATCGAACGGCAGACGTTTGAGCGGGGCGGTGATAATTCTTCCTCCAGCTGGCCGTCGCGAAGCCGCAGGACGCCGCAGGACTACAGGCCCACAACGTTGGTTCTCGCGCCGAGTGGAACAGCGGCCGGCCAAAGTCGGCAGAACACGCCAAAAGCACGGTTTACACGATCAAATTGAAAATAAATAACTAAATAAAGGAAAGACACGCACCTTGCGAGCACCCATGACCCATAAGCTCTGCCCTGACAGTATAAACAAGCCCCCCCCTCTCCGGGGAGGGATCCCGACCGCAGTGTCCGCACAAATTGACACTGTGTGCGTGAGATGGGACGGGACCCTCCGAGAACTGGATGAGAGGGACGGGGAGGGAAAGAGAGAAAAAGGTGAAAGAAAGGAAGATTCGGTCCCCTGTCTTAAAGCCTGCCGAGCGATTCAAAGGAGCGGTTCGTCGCTCTGTCTCTCTCGCACCCTTGTGGAGAGCGCCACCAGTGCGACAGAGACAGAGCGACCAAACGACTCTTGGGCTGTCGGCAGCGGAGTTCATTAGATTTGGCCAACGAGGCCATGGCGGTGGCGTTTACACCGGTACAAACACTCAGCGATAATCACCCACGCAGAAAAACGCCGCGAAAGAAACGCGAAAAAAGGAAAATGAAAATAAAGGCTAAAGTGTTTGTCATTACAGAGTCGCACCCAGATTAAAACAAAAATTTTAATTTGGGGAGGGAAAAAAAGGATGCATGAAACTGTTAGTAGCAGCCCTAACACGTGCCATGCCGTGTCATGCTGATTTTGGCTGAGGTGGAACACGTTGCGATTGGCGTATAAAACGCATGCATCGCCCTCGGCCGAGTCGGAGCGCATAGGTAGGCGCTTGTGGCTTTGGCTTGGTTCCTCTTTAGCATGCTGATTTGTGAGTGCCCCCGCCTGCTGGCTCCAGGCTCCAGGCTCTTGCGCCAGAGAGCCGCTCCTGATCTCTTCCAAGCGTAAGGCCTTGCGGGACGCTAAACCACGCAAAAACTGAAAAAAACTATGACTGTTCGATTTTCCATGCTCATTCCTTTCTCCTGCTTTCTCCAACACAATCGCAAAGCCAGAGAGCGTTTTGAAAAACAAACAAACAAACAAACAAACAAACAGCAACAAACAACAACAACAACAACAACAACAACAACAACAAAACAACTAGAAACAAAACAAAGACAAGCCCCGGGCCTGTCTGTAGGAAATTAAAAGGGTCTGCCCCGCGATGCGCGAC